GATGTCACGCTCTGTTCTCCTTACCCCTTCCCTCTCTCTCTCTACCCCCTCTCTCCCTACTCCATGTCTATGCTGCCCCTGTTTTCTATGTAATATTTTTTTCTCTCTCACCACATTGCTCACTCACTCCTTCCTTTTCTCCCTCCCTCCCTCTCACCACATTCCTCTCTCCCTCTCAACACATTCCTCACTCCCTATCTCCCTACCTCTCACTCCCCCCCCCACCCCTCTCTCCCTCTCCGGTCTCTCTCATTATATCCCTCATCTCTCTCCTCTCCATTTGCCTCCCTCCCTCCTTGCCCCGCTCCCATCACCACACTCACTCTCCCTGCTTCCCTCCGACCATCTCCTGGCTCGCCACTCTTACATGCTCTCTCTCTCTCTCGCTTTCTCTCCCTATCTGTCTCTCCCTCCCTCTCTCTTTCTCTCCCTCCCTTCCCTCGAGATTTCCCCAAATGTGTTCCAGCTGCCGCGACTCAGAGAGTGACCCTCCCCCCGTGTCCCCTCGCGCGCGCCGCCCGTGTACAAAACACGGGTACGCACGTGCACGCACAGAACACGTGTACACAAAGAACACGTGTACACAGATACACAAAGATCCCCCGTAAAGCCTTAACAGACTGTAGGGGCAAGTGCTGTTAGCGAGCACCAATAAAGGCCGGCACGGCACACGAGGGGGTGGGTGGCCAGCACCACGCCCGGCCGCCTTTGTCTCCCTCGTGGCGTCGTTTACACATCGCACCGGGTACTCGTTTGAGGCTGAGTCGACCTAGGCGAGGCCCAGGACCGGTTCAGATAATCGTCACCGGTGTTTGCCGTGAACGGGAATCGAACCCGGGTCGCTACCGCTCCCCACAAATACACAACACAGATACACACTCACAGTGTATGCGTATTGGTGAGTATGTGGGTAGCGGTAGGGCAGCGGTTAGCGCACTGCGCTACGAACACAGTATCCCGGGTTATGATCCCCCCTCACGGCCACCATCAGTGACGATTATTTGAACCGGTCCTGGGCCTCCCCTAGGTAGACTCAGCCTCAAACAAGTACTCGACATGGTGCGTTAACATCGCCACTCGGGAGATAAAGGCGGCCGGGCGTGGTGCTGGCCACCCACCCCCTCGTGTGCCGTGCCGGTCTTCATAGGCGCTCGCTTAAAGCACTTGCCCCTATAGTCTGTTACAGGCTACACGGGGGATCTTTGTCTTTGTGTAGGCGGGTGTGAGGAGCGGTGGTGCAGCAGCTAGCGCGCTGCGCTACAAACTCGGCGACCCGAAATTTCGATTTCCGCTCACGGCCAACATCAGTGGCGAATATCTGACCGTGTCCTGGGCCTCCCCTAGGTCGACTCGGCCTCAAATGAGTACCTGGTGAGATGTGTAAACAACGCCACACGATTTGGTGGCTCCCCACCAAATCGTGTGCCGCGCCGGCCTTCATAAAGCGCTGCTCGCTCGCTCACTGCACTTGCCCCAACAGCCTGCGTGGGCTACACGGGGGATCTTTGTAATTGTTTGTATAGGTGAGTGTCCATAAGGGGGGGGAGTTGGAGTTGGGGGGGGGTATGTAAAAGGTGAGTGACCCGGGCCCACTCAGATGTGAGTGTGAGGGGAGCTGCCATATCCATAGTTAAGTTAATCGCAGCACTGCCATGCAAATTATATCGCAATGATCCATTCCCACTGTGTGTACGTTAGGGGGTCGAAGCCTCCCGCCCCCCCCCCAAGCCATGTTCTAATTACTCCGGGTTGGCTTGTGGTGGGGGATCTCTGTGTAATTGACGGGGCGTGACGTCATCAGCCCCCACTAAATGAGATTTCTCGACCGCGTGTCACGACCAACATTAAGACAAAGATCCCCCGTATAGCCTGTGCCAGACTGCAGGGGCAAGTGCTGTTTCGCGAGTACCTATGAAGGCCGGAACGGCACACGAGGGGGTGGGTGGCCAGCACCACGCCCGTCCGCCTTTGTCTCCCCAGTGGCGATGTTTACACACCGCACCGGGGTACTCATTTGAGGCTGAGTCGACCTAGGGGAGGCCCAGGACCGGTTCAGATAATCGTCACTGGTGTTGGCCGTGAGCGGGAATCGAACCCGGGTCGCCGGATTTGTAGCGTTAACCGCTACACTACCGCTCCCCACCACGGCTAACACACCCACAAAGACAAAGCTCCCCCGTGTAGCCTTTAACAGGCTGTAGGGGCAAGTGGCGTTAGGCAGTACCTATGAAGGCCGGCACGGCACACGAGAGGTCGGTGATCAAGAACCAAGAACCCGGCCGCCTTTGTCTCCCCAGTGCTGATATTTACACACCCCACCGGGCACTCGCTTGAGGTTGAGTCGACCTAGATGAGGCCCATGACCCGTTCAGATGTCCGCCACTGGCGTTGACCGTGAGCTGGAATCGAACTCGCGCGGCACAACATTCATATACACGGACACACTCGTGTGTGTATGTATATAATTGGATGTATATAATTGTGTGTATATGTATATATACGTGTGTGCTTAGTAGGGTATAAATGTGTGCATTCCCGTATATGTCATGGTGTGAACATGTAATTAGGTGCATCAGTGTGTGTGTATAATCTCGAATATACACAACCGTGTATCATTTTAAATGTGTGTATGTATAATTGCGTGTACTGTATACTTGTGTATGTATACTTATATATAGAATTGCGTGTGTGTAATCCTGTACATATGTAATCGTGTGTAATTGTGCATCAGCGTGTGTAGTGTGGATATGCAATTTTGTGTATATATGTAATTATATTTGCGTGATTGCCTGCATGTATTTCCGTATACATGTAACTGTGTACAGTACATGTATCTGTATGCACGTGTAATTGTGTATATCCTATTGTGTATACGTGATTGTGTATGTGTAATTGTGAAGACGTCACACAGTCGATGACCTCTGTGACCCGGCATTCGAGGCGCTGTCAATTTGAGATGATGGTGATGATGCGGCCTGGGGAGGCATTCATCGAGCAGTGGAGTGATCATGGCTGATGATGATTATGGTGATGTGAAGATGGTATGATGTTGAGTGATGTGATGATGGTAGTGATTCAGTGGTGATGATGATGATGATTGTAGTTATTGTGCTGATGAAAGTGTTTGATGATTTTGCTGCTGATGACACTGATAATTCGACTGATGCTAAAGATAATCCTGCTGCTGATGGTGTTGCTGATTATACTGCTTGTGCTGCTGTTGCTAATGCTGATGTTACTGATATTAATCATGCTGATACTGCTCCTGATGGTTATGCTGCTGATGTTGATGGTTTTGCTACTAATGATACTGCTGCTGATAATGCTGTTGACGCTAATTACTTTTCTGCTGATGATGCTGATGGTGTTGATGATGCTGATAATGCTGTTGATGATGCTGATAATGCTGTTGATGCTGATGATTGTTGCTGATGATATTGATGGTTTTGTTGTTACTGATGATGCTGCTGATACTGTTGTTGATGCTGATGATTTTGCTGCTGCTAATTCTGCTGATGCTTTTGCTGCTGCTGTTGCTACTGATACTGCTGTTGATGCTGATGATTTTGCTGCTGATGCTGCTGATAATGCTGCTGATGCTATTGATGGCTTTGCTGCTGATGATGTTGATGGTGGTGATGATGATGCTGATAATGCTGTTGATGCTGATGACTTTGTTTCTAATGCTGATATTGATGCTTTTGCTGCTGCTGATATTGCTGTTGATGCTGATGATTTTGCTGCTGATGCTGCTGATAATGCTGCTGATGCTATTGATGGTTTTGCTGCTGATGATGTTGATGGTGGTGATGATGATAATGCTGTTGATGCTGATGACTTTGTTTCTGATTGATGGTTTTGCTGCTGTTGATGCTGCTGATATTGCTGATAATATTTATGGTTTGCTGCTGCTGATGCTGCTGATATTGCTGATAATATTGATGGTTTTGCTGCTGCTGATGATGATACTGCTGTTGATGTTGATGATTTTGGTGCTGCTTATACTGATAATACTGCTGATGATGTTGGTGCTGATGATGATGGTTTTGCTGATGATATTGATGGTTTTGCTGCTGCTGTTAATGCTGATAAAATGTTGCTGCTGATACTAATAATGCTGTTGATGATTTTGCTGCTGATGATATTGATGGTTTTCCTGATGCTGATAATGCTGTTGATGCTGATGATTTTGCTGCTGATGATATCGATGGCTTTGCTGCTAATGATGCTGCTGATTTTGCTGCTGACACTGATGCTGCTGCTGATTATTTTTGCTGTTGACACTGATAATGCTGCTGATGTTAATCATGTTGCTGCTGATGATGCTGATGATGACTTTGCTGCTAACACTGATAATGCTGCTGATGCTGATAATGTTGCTGCTGATGGTGATGATGATGATTTTGCCTTGACACTGATAATGCTGCTGATGACTTTGGTACTGCTGATGCTGATCATGTTGCTGCTGCTGCTGATGATGCTGCTGCTGCACTGCGCATGCGCGTCCCGCCCGCCCGCCCGCGCGCGCTGCATTGTGGGCCACGTCTCGGAATGCGGAGCGGCTCCATCTCTCTCCGCGTCGGGCCCATCTCATCATCATCATCCTCCTCCTCCTCTCTCTTTCTCCTCCTCATCCCTCTCTCCCTTCTATCTCCTCCACCTCATTGATCTCTCCGCCTTCCCGAATCACCGGGATCTCTGCGGCGAGCATCTCCCGGCACCGGCCCTCCGCCTCTCTCAGAATCCTCCATCCCCTCTCTCCTCCTCCTCCATCTCTCTTCTCTCATTCACGCGTCTCTCTCCTCCATCTCTCTCTTTTCTCCTCTCTCCTCCATCTCTCTCTTTTCTCCTCTCTCCTCCTTCTCCGTCCGCCCTCACGCCCGTTTTTCTCTCTCTCTCTCTTTGCCCCCCATCTCACGTTTCTCCCCATCTCCTCCTCCTCCTGCCCCTCCATATCATCTGTTCTCCCTCCGCCTCACGCGTCTCTCTCGTCTCTTCTCTCCTTTCTCGCTCTCCCGAGTGGCGATCTCCGGGCGCGGATCCTGCCTCCTCTTCCTCCTCCATCTCCGCACATTCCGGTGAGAGACGAAGAGATCGGAGCTCGAAACATCATCAGCAGCAGCCGTAGCATCAGCATTGTTATAAGCGTCATCAGAAGCGGCATTATCATGAAGATTGTCACAATCATCAGCAGTATAACTAGCATCAATAGCATCAGCATTAACAGCAATAATCGTCAACATCAGCATTATTATCACAAACATCAGCATCATCAACATCGGCAGTATCGTTAACATCATCAGCATTGTTATCAGCACCATAAGAAGAAACAGCAGTGTTATGAACATTATCACAATCATCATCATCAGCAGCAGCATCCCTAACATCATCAAAAGCATCAACATTAACAGCAATAATCGTCAACATCAGCATTATCACAAACAGCATAATCGGCAGCATCGTTAACATCAGCTTTGTTATCAGCACCATCAGAAGAAACAGCAGTATTATCATGAACATTATGACAATCTTGATTTAAAGCTTTCGTGACTGCAGTAATTCATATTCTTAGTTTTTTCGGTAAAGTCATATATTATGACAATCATCAACAGCATCACTAACGTCACCAACAGCATCAGCATTAACAGCAACATCTTCATTATCACCATTAGTTTCACAAACACCATCATCAGCAGCAGCACGATTGGTGTGTGGATCATCATCAGCAGCAGTATAATCATCGTCAAACATCACGATCTTGACATCATCAGCAGCATTGTCATAACCTTAATTAACATCATTACTATACTCTTTGATTATTTCGGTAAAAGTCACGGAGGTAACCGAAAGAATCAGAGTGTGGATTCCTGCAGTCCCGAAAGCTTCAAATCAACATCATTACTCGCATTCATGTTTTGCCATCCCTACCATTACATCATCGTGAGCATTATCATCATCTGATATCACGATCATCACGGCCCGCATCATCATAATCATCATCACCTTCACAATCATCACCACAATCATTAAATATCATCACTGTCATCATCACCGTCACCTTCATCAACGTCATCTTCATCACCACCATCGTCGTAATCATCACCGTCATCGGACCGATTAAATCATCATCATGAACCCAGTCATCAACTTCTTCATCTTTAGCCACGGCATGCACAGTGATGGTATCACGGTTACAATGCCTTCATCGCCCATCTCCACCATTATCGCGCCGTCATCATCATACCCATCATCACAACATCACAAAATGGCCAGGGCTTAAATTAAACCAGAGCAATTAAGAGCACACCACATCACATCTCCACTTCATCACATCACACCACATCTCTTCACTTCATCACATCACACCACATCACTCCACTCCATCACCACATCGCATCCCTCCGCTCCCTTCACGCCGCATCGCATCCCTCCGCTCCATCACACCACGTCGCATCCTTCCACTCCATCACACCACATCACACCTACTCAATCATGCTCCGTTAAAACACTTTCCACTATACCCACATCACTCCACCCACAATCACTCCATCAGACTCCCACATCACCCCCCCCCGCCCTCATCATCATCCCCCGTTAGGGTCACGCGCCGCCGTTGTTGAAGGTTTGGGTCGCAGTCCCTGCGGCGATAGCGGCTCCACAGAGAGGATACTGGGGGGGTGGTGGTGGTGAGGCAGCGACGGGGCCCTGATGGTCAGGCGGAGCAAAGAGGAGTGTGGTGGATGGGGGGCTTAGAGGGGTCATAGCCTGGGCAGGGATGCGATCGAGGCTTAGAAAGAGGAACCGCGGAAGAGGTGGACCCTGGTTCAGAGATGGGCAGAGGAGAGGGGACAGATTGGGGGGCAGAGTGAAGAGAGGGGGTGGGGGGGCTTGTTTTAGAGAGGAGTAGAGAGTGAGGGGGGCCCCTGGGACGCATAGCTGCACAAGTAACAGCTGCACACAGCTGTGCCCTTACAGCTACACTCGCGCACACCGTTCAGTGCACAGCACCCCTGCTGCACACCAATGCTGCACAGTGCGCCACACGTGTACATCGGCTGCTGCACGCTGCTGCTGCAGACGCTGCTGCACGCTGCTGCTGCACGCTGCTTCTGCAGGACGCTGCTGCACACTGCTGCTGAATAATGTCGCTGCACGCTGCTGCTGCACTTTTCTTCTGCTGCTGCACATTTCTTCTGCTGCTGCACATTGCTGCTGCACGCTGCTGGTGCACACTGCTGCTGCACACAGATGCTGATGCTGCACATTGCTGCACGCTGCTGGATGGCGTAAAACGTGGTGGGGGTATTGGTGGTGGTGTTGGGAATGTTAGCGATGATGATGAAGATGGTGATTTGTGTGTTGAACACATCTCCGTGTGAAGTCTTGTAAACAGTTGGGGCAAGTGCTGTTAGCGAGCGCCTATTTAGGCGGACACGACGCGCGGTGTGGGTGGCGGAGGCAGCACCACGCCGGGCCGCCTGTGTCTCCCCAGTGCGGATGTTTACTCATCGCACCAGGTATAGCAATACCCCGGTTCACGTCGGGGATGCGGTCGTGAATGGTGCGAAGACGAATATCGGAACGACGTAAATCAAAGCGATTTTACAGGGCGCGTGGAGGCGAAGGCCGAGGCGACGGATGACAAGGAAGGTCGGACGATGCTGTCAGCGACGTTTACGCGCAGGGGGGGGGGGGGGGGGCGTTGTAGCGGCGACGCAAATCGGGTGGCGGCACGAATAATAAAATGACGACGTTCTTGCGAAACGACGCAAACAGGGCGAAGACGTAAATCGGGGTATTGCTGCATTCGTTTTTTTTTTTAGCCCGAGTCGACTCGGAGGGGGGTGGGGGAGGTGGGAGCGGGGGTGGTGGAAAAGCCCAGGGACCAAATGCGAGAGCACCGCTCCCCACGGAGCGGATCCACAGTTCACGTCGCGCCGACCGTGAGAGATCGCCGCTCGCTCGGGAAACTCGCAGAGGTCGTCGCTGCCCCCCCACTGCGCAAAAACGCGCCAGACACCCCCCCCCCCCCCGCCCCCCCCCCCCCCACCACCACCACCGCCTCTCTCTCCCGCCCCCCGAATTTAGAGAGAAACAGCAGCCACCACCAGGTTGATTGATGATCCAGCACTCGCCCATTCACTCGGTCGCGCAAGCTCGCTCGCTCAGTCCCCTCCTTGTCGCTCTTCTATAACTACTACTGCACTGCTCTGATTACCGTGGGCCCTGAACTTTGCTCGTTGATTCACTCCACCCGTGTTTAAAATTCGGTCAGACTCTGAATGTGTCATCTCTTCCGCGCTGTGTTCACGACACTGCAGATCACAAGAACACACTCACCCACTCACCACACTGCAGGTCACAACATCACACTCACCCACTACACTTACCCACTCACCACACTACAGGTCACAACAACACACTCACCCACCACACTCACCCACTCACCACACTACAGGTCACAACAACACACTCACCCACCACACTCACCCACTCACCACACTGCAGGTCACAACAACACACTCACCCACTACACTCACCCACTCACCACACTACAGGTCACAACAACACACTCACCCACCACACTCACCCACTCACCACACTACAGGTCACAACAACACACTCACCCACCACACTCACCCACTCACCACACTGCAGGTCACAACAACACACTCACCCACCACACTACAGGTCACAACAACACACTCACCCACTACACTCATCCACTCACCACACTACAGGTCACAACAACACACTCACCCACCACACTCACCCACTCAGCAGGTCACAACAACACACTCACCCACCACACTACAGGTCACAACAACACACTCACCCACTACACTGACCCACTCACCACACTACAGATCACAACAGCTCACTCACCCACACCACCCCACAGGTCACCTCACTTCTCTCTCCACTCCTCCCTCGCACTGCTCCACTCTGGAACTCCCTCCCATATCATCGTCATAATCATCGTCTCTCTTCCCCAACTCTTTACAATAATAACCTTGCTTAATTCAAGAAGTGTGTCCTACACTTCTATCTATTAATACCTTACATAATGCTTTTTGTTGCTGGACGCTTGATATTTCGGGCTCGGCAACTGTGTTAAAAAAAGGTGTGGTGCAGGGACACTTGTGCCTCACCTGGCTTCAATTCCTGACTCGGGTACCGCTTTCTGCGTGGAGTCTGTATTTTCTCCCCCTGTTCTGCATGGGTTTCCTCTGGGTCTCTGGATTCTTCCTACCACAGCTAAATCCACAGTAGAACTGCTATTAGCCAAAACATGCCAATGCTGACAAATCCCTGCAAATCACCCAATTGGGATCACGCAGTGACAGCAGCAGCAGCAACCTCGTCTCCTGCGAGCAAAACTTGGCAGGACCCTCCTGAAAAAGAGTGTTGAGACTCGGCGAGGCTTTCTCGGGTAAACGAGGGGAATAAAAAACTATAATAATAATCTGTGGGCGGGAATCGTCGGTGGAATAATAATGTGTGTGACGCTTGGCCGCTTCCCACTTCTCCGTCGCGCAGGTTCCCTCTAAACGATGTGACGCCGGCCACGGTGCATGAAGACAGACGCAGCCACGCTCAAGAATGACGCCCACCCGCCAAAGCGACGACGGGGCCCTCAGGAGGCCGCGGGCCTTGCCACTGACTCTGCTGCTCGCCTGGACGCTGCTCTGCCTCTGCCGTACGGGCGCCGGCGCCGGGCCCGAGCCAGCCACCTTCTCTCCAGACCTCGGCGACTGGAGCCTCAACCACCTGGTGGTGCACAACACGACGGGCGACGTGTACGTCGGTGCCGTCAACCGGATATTCAAGCTGTCGAGCAACCTGTCCCTGCTCCGGACGCACGAGACGGGGCCCAGCCGCGACAACAAGAAGTGCTACCCGCCGCCGACCATCCAGAACTGCAACCACGACCTCGCGCCCACCAGCAACGTCAACAAGATGCTGCTCATCGACTACGCCGAGAACCGGCTGGTCGCCTGCGGTAGCCTCTTCCAGGGCATCTGCCAGCTGCTGCGTCTGGACGACCTCTTCAAGCTGGGTGAGCCCAACCACCGCAAGGAGCACTACTTCTCGAGCGTCAACGAGAGCGGCACCATGTTCGGCGTGATCATCGCGGGCAAGGGCGGCCGCCACGAGCGCCTCTACGTGGGCACGCCCATCGACGGCAAGTCCGAGTACTTCCCCACTATGTCGAGTCGCAAGCTCACGCCCAACGCGGAGGACGCCGAGATGTTCAGCTACGTCTACCAGGACGAGTTTCTATCGTCGCAGCTCAAGATCCCATCCGACACGCTCAGCACCACGCCCAGCTTCGACATCTTCTACGTCTACGGCTTCACTGTGGGCAAGTTCGTCTACTTCCTCACGCTGCAGCCCGACATCGGCGTCCACGCCGACTCGTCCAGCGACCAGTTCTACACCTCCAAGGTGGTGCGCCTCTGCGTCGACGACTCCATCTTCTACTCCTACGTGGAGCTGCCCATCGGCTGCGTGAAGGACGGCATCGAGTATCGCCTCGTCCAGGGGGCCTACCTGGCCAAGCCGGGCCGCGTGCTCGCGCACTCGCTAGGAGTCGCGCCCGACGACCACGTGCTCTTCGCCGTCTTCGCCAAGGGCCAGAAGAGCTGGCGGCGGCCGCCCAAGGAGTCGGCGCTGTGCGTGTTCACGCTGCGCGCCATCAACGACGTGGTCAAGGAGCGCGTGCAGTCGTGCTATCGCGGACAGGGCCAGCTCGACCTCACCTGGCTCATCAACAAGCAGCTAGACTGCCGCGAGGCGGTGAGTGAATGGTGTGGGTGGCGAGTGGTGGCATGTTAGTCCGACGGTTGTTGGTGAGATAGATGCGTGTCCTGTTTGTCTGTTGGCAATGTTTTTATATTAAGTCCCCGCTGTTCCATGCAGTTTTTAGAACTGCTTTTTGTGTTTAGGTTGTTGTCCTTCCCCGCACCTCCGATTATAGCACGTTTGGCTATGTATGGTGCGAAAGAAGTTCTACATACATAGAGTCCCTGTAAACCCTCCCGACTCGTGTAACTTGCCTGCTACCATTCTCAACATGGTGAGCTTTGCTCAGAATAAGCTGGTTGAGTGAGCGGTTGTGGTTCGAGGAGGTGAGTGGAGCGTGGTAGGTGGTGTGAGTGTTGTGAGTAGGAGCAGCGAGGTGGTTAGTGGCGTGTTCACCGCGACCACGCTCGACACGAATCGGGCAAACATCACTCCGCGCGTGCACACCGTCGCTCGCCACCCAACTCCACGCTCGCCACAATCACTGTGTGCACGCCACCACCATGTTCACCCACACACCACTCGCCCACACGCACCCCACATACCCAATGCTGCCCTCTGGCCACCGGTGATACCAGGGGCTTAAGCACTGGTGTCATGTGTGCGGTGTGTTGTGCATGCGCGTGTGCGTAGTGTTTTGTGCGTGTGTGTGGCGTGTTGTGTGCGCGTGGGGAGCAGTCGTGTAGCGGTTAGCGTGCGGCACTGTCAACCCGGCGACCCGAGTTCGATTCCCGCTCACGGCTAACACGAGTGGTGAATGTTTTAAACTGGTGCTGGACCTCCACTAGGTCGACTCGGTCTCAAATGAGTACCTTTTGTGATGAGTAAACTTCACCCCTCGAGGGACAAGGGCTGCCAGGCATGGTGCTGGCCACCCACCCCCTCGTGTAGTGTCGGCCTTCATAGGTGCTCGCTAATAGCACTTTTCCCAGCAGTCTGTTAAGGTTATACAGGGGTCCTTTGTCTTTATGTTGTGTGCGCGCGAGTGTGTAAGCGACCCTTTGTTTACACTTGGTGTGCACTGTAAACTAGCTGTGTGCGTCTTTTGGGATTCATAACACCAGCTGTGTGGTGCCAAACGCGCCAGCAGGATTATCTAAGACAGCCACACCACTCAGATACAACCACATCGCACTCACCAGCCAGATACAACCACACCACACACACCACTCAGATACAACCACATCACACTCACCAGCCAGATACAACCACACCACACACACCACTCAGATACAACCACACCACACACACCACTCAGATACAACCACAACACACACACTAGCCAGATACAACCACACACACCAGCCAGATACAACCACAACCACACACACCAGCCAGATACAACCCCACCACATACAACAGCCAGATACAACCACACAACGCACACTAGCCAAATACAACCACACCACACACACTAGCCAGATACAACCACACACACCAGCCAGATACAACCACACCACACACGCTAGATAAAACCACACCACACACACCAGCCAGATACAACCACACCACACACACCAGCCAGATACAACCACGCCACACACACCAGCCAGATACAACCACACCACACACACCAGCCAGATACAACCACACCACACACCAGCCAGACACAACCCCACCACATATACCAGCTAGGTACAATCACACCACACACACCAGCCAGATACAATCACACCATGCACACAAGCTAGACACAACCACACCACACACCAGCTAGATACAACCCCACCACGCACACCACCCAGATACAACCACACCATGCACACCACAGCCAGATACAACAACACCACACACACCACAGCCAGATACAACCATACCACACACACCACATCCAGATACAACCACACCACACACCACAGCCAGATACAACCACACCACACACACCACAGCCAGATACAACCACACCACAGCCAGATACAACCTCACCACACACCACCCAGATACAACCACACCACACACATCTGCTAGACACAACCACCCCACACACACCAGCCATATACAACCACACCACACACCACAGCCAGATACAACCACACCACACCCCAGCCAGACACAACCCCACCACATACACCAGCTAGACACAACCACACCACACACCAGCCAGACACAACCACACACACCAGCCATATACAACCACACCACACACCAGCCAGATACAACCACACCACACACACCAGCCAGATACAACCACATATACCAACTAGCCACTCCCAATCACACGAGATGGCTTCACTAACCATCCTAATAGCACACTTGGGACAGCCATGCCAGGCGACCTTAACTACACATTTGGGACAGCCTCACCAAGCATCATAACCACGCACATGGGACAGCCTCCCCAGGCATCATAACCACACACTTGGGACAGCCTCACCAGGCATCATAACCACACACATGGGACAGCCTCACCAGGCATCATAACCACACACTTGGGACAACCTCACCAGGCATCATAACCACACACTTGGCACAGCCTCACCAAGCATCATAACCACACACTTGGAACAACCTCACCAGGCATCATAACCACACACTTGGCACAGCCTCACCAAGCATCATAACCACACACTTGGGACAGCCTCACCAGGCATCATAACCACACACATGGGACAGCCTCACCAGGCATCATAACCACACACTTGGGACAACCTCCCCAGGCATCATAACCACACACTTGGGACAACCTCACCAGGCATCATAACCACACACTTGGCACAGCCTCACCGGGCATCATAACCACACACATGGCACAGCCTCACCAGGCATCATAACCACACACCACACACTTGGCACAGCCTCACCAGGCATCATAACCACACACTTGGGACAACCTCCCCAGGCATCATAACCACACACCACACACTTGGCACAGCCTCACCAGGCATCATCACCACACACTTGGGACAGCCTCACCAGGCATCATAACCACACACTTGGCACAGCCTCACCAGGCATCATAACCACACACTTGGCACAGCCTCACCAGGCATCATCACTGGTCATGTGAAACGGTCACCGTGGCCAGCTCAGGAGCCACACGGTGCTGTGGCGACACAGCTGTGCCGGGAGCACACAGGCTGAACCTTGTTCCATTGTCTCTCCCGGCGTCCCTGGTCAGGGCAGCGCATTGCAGACTCAGCGACGGAGCTGCTGCCGCCCTTGTCATGATGGTATTGGAGTGGCCAGGGGCGAGTGGCCAGGGGCGAGTGGGCAGCGGCGAGTGGGCAGGGGCGTGTGCCCGATTACTGGGCTAACACACAATGGGGGGCAGCGGTGTCGCTGACCACAACTATCATCACCGCCGCTATCGCCGCCACCATCGCCATCACCACCACCGCCGCCGCCATCACCACCACCACCATCACTGCCATCACAGCTGCTGCGATTCACTCCCTTGGAGTGCTGCAGCCTGGTGGGCTCTGAATGGCCAGGTCCCAAGGCAGCCATTTCCAGTAACAATGAGCCCTGTGAGGAGCCATGCGGCGAGGGAGGGACAGAGGGAGGGTGGGAGGGAGGGTGGGAGGGATGGGATGGTCGGACGGCACGCGGACGAGGTGGTCCTGCTTGGGGTTGCCACCTGTCCGGGAGTTGGCATCTGTGTTCGGGTGGCAGGCATTGATTTGTACCCAGATCTAATGGCACTGTGCTGAACTTAATCGCAGTGAAGTGCACAGTTCTGATGGACCCCGTGCTGACTGAGAGGTCCGCCCACAGTTGGAGAAGGCGACAACCCACCCTCGCGCACCTACTCACTCGCCCATAGAGACCCACAGACTCGCACAGAGACAACGCTGACTGCAGCAGTGTTCGGGATGTAAACCCATGCACTGTGAGGTCGAGTGGACTATTGGGGCAGCCTTGCTGCGTGCAGGCCGGACTGTGTGGGAGAGGGTGTGTTGGTGGATGTGTCAGTGTGAGTGTGATTGGATGTGTGTTAGTGGGTGCCGGTCCTTGGCATCCCCCAGATCGACTCAACCTTAAATTAATACCTGATGTTGTGTGTGTAAATATCAGCACTGGGGAGATAAAGGCGGCCAGGCATTGTGCTGGCCCACCCATCCCCTCATGGGCTGTGGCGGCCTTCATAGGTGCTGCTCGCTAACAGCACTTTCCCCAACGGTCTGTTAAAGGCTACACGGGGGATATTTGTGTGTGTGTGTGGATATTGGTATTCAAGCATTTTCATGAATTCTGCGTGCGTGTGAGTAAAATGTGTTTGAATGGGTGAGTGTGGGTTTGCACGGATGTTTGCCTTTCTGTTTGTGTGCGCGTCTGTGCGCTTGTGTGTGTATGTGATTGTTTGGGGAGCGGTAGTGTTGTGGTTAGCGCGCTGTGCTACTAAACCGGTGATCCGAGTTCGATTCCCGCTCACGGCCAGCACCGGTGACATTTTTTTGTACCAGCCTTGGGCCTCCCCTAGGTCGACTTAGCCTCAAATGAGTACCTGGTACAGTGTGCAAACACCGGCACTGGGGGAGACAAAGGCGGACAGGCATGGTGCTGACCACCCCACCGCCTCGTGTGACATGCCGGCCTTCATAGGCACTCGTTAACAGCACTTGCCCCAACAGTATGTTAAGGCTATATGGAGGATCTTTGCTTTGTCTTTGTGTGTGCGATGATGCTCGCAGTCGTGTCGAGTGGTTGACGCGCTGCGCTACGAATTTGTCGTTTCTCACTCGCGGCCAGCACCAGTGGCGAATATTTGAACCGATCCAGGGCTTCCCCTTCACATGCGCTCGCTAGCAGCACTTTCCCCTACAGCTTCTGAAGGCTATATTGGGATCTTAGTCTCTAATGATACTAATACCAACGTGCATGTGCCCTGGGCAATGTCAGGAGTCGCGCTGTGGTTGTTGAGCTGTGTGCGCGTGGCGTCGCATTTTATCTCGGAGCGCGTTGCTGCCTGCTTCCCGCGTCTGTTGTGAGCTTCGCCCCGGCGTCGTCCCTCTCTCCCCGGCGTCGTCCCTCTCTCCCCGGCGTCGTCCCTCTCTCCCCGGCGTCGTCCCTCTCTCCCCGGCGTCGTTCCTCTCTCCCCGGCGTCGTCCGTCTCTCCCCGGCGCCGTCCCTCTCTCCCCGGCGCCGTCCCTCTCTCCCCGGCGTCGTCCCTCTCTCCCCGGCGTCGTCCCTCTCTCCCCGGCGTCGTCCCTCTCTCCCCGGTGTCGTCCCTATCTCCCCGGCGCCGTCCCTCTCTCCCCGGCGTCGTGTCTCATCCCTCGTTCGTGCGCCATCTCCGCTCATTTACCTAGGAAAGCTCACGGAGTCTCGTGATTTCAGGAGAATCTTGCCAGGTTTTTGAAGGGGTGGGGGGGGGGGCGGTGATTGCTGCTGTGTGTGTGATCCCAAGCGAGTCATTTGTAGAGTAATTTCACACAAATGGCAAATGTGGACCGTGACGCCGGCACGCAAGCAGCCTTCTCTTACGAATGTCGTCACTGGATCTGTAACGTCCACTCTGAGTGAAGCAGACGGCGCGTAGTATCATCATCATCATCACGGTCGATACACACCACGACTGCATTATTAACCAGGGCCGCCCAGCGGATGCGGAATGCGAACCTCTGCAACAAGCGGCGAACGCGCTTCCAGCTGGGCCGCGTCACCGCCCGTCAAACCTTGCGTCTCGCGCGAAATCCCCACGGCAACGCCGCTCTCCAGTTCTCAAAACCATAGCAGTGCAACTGTCCCTCGGTTAGAAACCCGCATTGGCGTGGAGCCATCGTCTCCCTTGACTCGCGGGCGCGAATCGCCAGCGGCAACTCGCTCGCACAGCGGCACCTGTGGGAGTGAGTGAGTCTGTGAGCGTTTGTTGGCGTGATTGGCTCTGTGTGAAATTCCCTTTGTAAATGCGCAGAACTACTCAGGGGGTTATATATTTAAAGTGTGCCCGCGCGTGTGCGTGTGTCATCACGCGTGGGTAGCGGAGTGGGTGGGTGGGTGAGTGTTCGTGTGACGCTATGTGTGTGAGCGGTAGTGTTGCGGTTAGTGCTACGCTCACAGCCAACACAAGTGACGAGCATCTGAACTGGTTGTGGGTCTCCCCTAGGTTGACTCGGCCTCAAATGAATACCTTGTGCAGTTTGCAAACACCGGCACCGGGGAGACAAAGGCGGCCAGGCATGGTGCTGGTTACCCACCCACTCGTGTGCTCTTCGTTCACAGTGCTCCCCTCATCAATTTATTAAAGTCTATACCGGGGATCTCTGTCTCTGTGTGACACTACAGCCCATGCAGATCAGCGATGAGTTCTGCGGGCAGGTGATCAACCAGCCGCTGGGGGGCACGCGCCTCGTGGAGGGGGTGCCCGTGTTCCTGGAGGCCTCCGATGGCCTCACCTCCGTGGCCGCCTACACCTTCAACGACCAATTGGTGGCCTTCCTGGGCACCAAGAACGGCAAGATCAAGAAGGTGGGGGGCATCGCTCGCTCACTCAAGCACTCACTCAAGCACTCGCACACTCCCACGCTGGCAATCTCCCATGCTGGCAATCTCCCACGCTCACACACTCCTACACTCCCACGCTCACACTCTCCCACGATTACTCACTCCCACGCTCACGCAAGCGTTCACATTCACCCGTTTGACGACTGTGGTCCCTTGCTTTCTGCGCCCGTGTTGTTGCTGCTCTTGTTGCACCTGCTGCTCCTGCTGCTGCGGTGCGGCAGTATGAGGGCGCTCGCCGCGTGGCATGAACGCTGCGTGGCATTGAGCGAGCAATTGGGCAGCCGATCTCGCCTGTAGCGTGCGCGGTCAGCCCACGTACTGCTGTATACCAGGCGAGGTAGTTAACATATCGCCCATCGTTTCTGGTGATGGGACGACTCGGGCGGATGCGGTGATGCACGCGGCCGGCAGGGGTTGGGCAGCTCGCCATCCATCATCGCCCCTCTGGGTTTTGCTGAATAATTATCAGCGTCATCCTCATCAGCATCGTAATGCTCCTCCTCCTTCCCCTCTCCTGTTGTCTCTTCTCAAGCTCGATTCAACGTCTAAAGCCCTCTCGCAACTTTCTGTTCTCGCGCGCGAGAATATGTTCAGGAGTTGGATGCCGAGGTCCTTCCGCTGATGATGCTTGCCACGACGAGAGGGCTTCAGCAGAGAGTTCGTCTGTGTCGTTTCGCTGTTCCTCTTCCTCCTTTGAAGGAGCGCAGACTACAGTGGTTTAATAAGTGGTCCACAGTTTGGGTTACCTGGCTACAATCCCACTCCTGTGGGTTCTCTTAAATTTTTCCATTCATGAAGGAAGGAGATGCACGGATCGGCCTGGTGACGTTCATGATGATGCCGTTGAGGATTCCACCACCAGTGTCTTTCAAGGGCCTCGATGATGGCGGTGCCGTTTGTTGCTGGCCACTTGGCCTTTTGGGTCTTTGGGACCTGCGCTCAGCAGCTGCGTGCGTAGAGTTTCCTAGCGGCTGTGGCGCTGATGCTGCTGCAATAAAGCTCAGGTTATCGCCGTGGAGAACGCAGCGGTGTGCACTTGCAATGCGGCTCGCTCCTCCTCCTCCGTGTCTCCACAGACCACGCGCGTGCTGCTGACACCGCGTACAGCAGCATCATGCGTGTGAAAGTGGTGGTGGCTTAGTGCTCATTTACAAGGGAGGGGGGGAGGGTAGTATCCCCAGTTTTAATTAGTGGAGCGGGGCTCAGTAAGCACCGCCACGCGCTGCCTGGTGGGCGCGAGGCTCCATGGGGATGTGGGTGATGCGGTGGGGGTGCAGTGTGGGACAGTGCGGTGTTGTCTGGGGTGGTGCAGTGTGGTGCGGTGTGCACCCTGAGCTGTATGCAGAGAAGCACCAATCTCTATGTTAGGCTGCGCATGGAGCTCCGTGCTGGGTTCCACGTGGAGCACCGTGTTGAACTTCATACAAAAGTAGCATCATTGTTACCCGTGATGCAGTTTGGCGTCTCCATGACCCACAATGCCGTTACCCGTGATGCCACGTCGTGTCTCCATTACCCACGATGCTGGGCAGAGCCTCCGTTACCCATGATGCCGTGCGGTGTGTCCGTTATCCATGATGCCGTGCATCATCTCCTTGACCCACGACGCCGTGCCGCGTCACCATGACCCACCATGCGGTGCGCTGTGCCGCAGGTGCGCGTGGACTCGGCAGGGCAGGCCCCCGGCGTGCAAACGGCGCTGCACTACGAGACTGTGGTGGTGGCACCGGGCAGCAAGGTGCTGCGCGACATGGAGTTCACGCTAGACCACCGCCACCTCTACGTCATGACCAACAAGAAGGTGAACGGCGGCTTGCACGCTCTGCATGACACCCGTCATGGACTCGCGTAGAGACCCATCATAGACTCGTGTATAGACCCATCATAGACTCACGGGGAGACCCACAGACTCTCGTCCAGATGTAGGTGGTGATGTGTTTGCGGTGGGAGTGCCGGTGTTGGTGATGATGTGGTTGCGCTGTGGGCACGGCGTGTGCGGTGCGGGTGGTGATGGTGGTGCGTATGTGGTTGTGGTGCAGGTGAGCCGCGTGCCCGTGGAGTCGTGCCATCAGCACCACAGCTGCGCCGACTGCCTGGGCTCGGGGGACCCACACTGTGGTTGGTGTGTCCTCCACAACATGTGAGTGTCAACCGCCACACGTGTCAACCGCCACACTCGCGTGTCCTCCACAACATGTGAGTGTCAACCGCCACACGTGTCAACCGCCACACTCGCGTGTCCTCCACAACATGTGAGTGTCAACCGCCACACGTGTCAACCGCCACACTCGCGTGTCCTCCACAACATGTGAGTGTCAACCGCCACACGTGTCAACCGCCACACTCGCGTGTCCTCCGCACACGCAAGTGCGGTGCGTCCCCGTGTCCGTGTGTCACCTCTCTGTGTGCTGTTGCGTGCATCTCCATGTGCGAATGTTTACCCGCGTCTCCCCGTGTCCCAACGTGCGTCTCAGCTGCTGCCGCTCGGACGAGTGTGGGCGGGCGAACGAGCCTCTGCGCTTCGCGTCGCGCAAGGATCGCTGCGTCCACCTCTCGGTACAGCCCAACAACGTGTCCATCACCATGGCCAGCGTGCCGGTGAGTCGCCCTCCTCGCCGCTCACCCCAACCCCTTTACATTCACTCAAACCCCACATCCCACATCCCGCACCCTCCACTGCTCACCATTCAATCCTCACCCCTCGTGTATGTGTGTGTGTGTGTGGCGAGTGAACGTGTGTGTGGCTAGTAAACGCATGTGTGGCTAGTAAACGCATGTGTTGCTTGTGTGTGTGACGAGTGAACGCGTGTATTGTGTGTGTGTGTGTGTGCGCGAGTGGCTAGTGAACGCGTGTGTGTTGTGTGTGTGTGTGCACGAGTGGCTAGTGAACGTGTGTGTGTTGTGTGTGTGTGCGCGCGAGTGGCTAGTGAACGTGTGTGTGTTGTGTGTGTGTGCGTGAGTGGCTAGTGAACGTGTGTGTGTTGTGTGTGTGCGCGCGAGTGGCTAGTGAACGTGTGTGTGGTGTGTGTGTGCGCGAGTGGCTAGTGAACGTGTGTGTGTTGTGTGGGTGTGCGCGAGTGGCTAGTGATTGCGTGTGTGTTGTGTGTGTGTGTGCGCGAGTGGCTAGTGAACGTGTGTGTGTTGTGTGTGTTTGCGAGTGGCTAGTGAACGTGTGTGTGTTGTGTGTGTGTGCGCGAGTGGCTAGTGAACGTGCGTGTGTTGTGTGTGTGTGCGCGAGTGGCTAGTGAACGTGTGTGTGTTGTGTGTGTGCGCGAGTGGCTAGTGAACATGTGTGTGTTGTGTGTGTGTGTGCGTGGCAGCTGACCCTGCGGCTGGTGAACGTGCCGGACCTGTCGGCGGGGGTGAACTGCACGTTTGCGGAGTTTGCCGAGACGGAGGCGCTGGTGGAAGAGCGGGAGCGAGTCAGCTGCCTCTCCCCCTCGCCCCGCGACGTCGCACGCATCCTCAGCAACCGTGGTGGGTGTGGGGGCGCACGGCGACGATGCTGGGGTGGGGGGGGGGGGCACGCGATACACTGGGGTGCAGAGGGACATGGAAGGGGAAGGGATATGGTTGAGGGATAGGGTCAGGGTTAGTGCATAGTGAGAGTTTTGTGGTTGTGTGTCACATGGCCTGGCACAGGCGCCGTGGTGACGTCACCGTCACTTGACGTCACCGTCACTTAGTGGCGAATGGCGGCTGTATTGGTATTGGATGTGCGTGTTCCCGCGGTTCAGTTGTAGTGGTGGTGATGGTGTGTGTGTGTGTCCCACGCGGTGCGCCAGGCGACACGCGTGTGGTTAGGCTGGGCCTGCGCTCACGCGAGACCGGGCGCGAGTTCGCCAGCACCGACTTCGTCTTCTTCAACTGCAGCGTCCACCCCTCGTGAGAGACGCAGCCACGCGCAACCGCAATCAACCAGGCGCAGCCACTACTGTTCACGGCCACAACCAATCGCGCGGAACCGCAATTAATCACGCGCAACCAGAATCAATTGCACGCAATCACAATCAATCGCTCGGAAACCACAATCGGTCACGCGGAAACCACAATCGGTCACGCACAACCACAATCATCCATGTGCATTCAACCACACGCAACCACAATCAACCATACACAACCACACACAGCATATACTCTGCTGCACACAGCCGCACACAGCTTAGTTCTATAGCGTGGTGGCGGTGGCAGCTGTATTCACTCTGTGGTTTCGCTTGTGGTTGTACATTACCTTGGTGGTTGTTCTGGTAGTTGCAGTTGTATATTACCGTGGTGGTTGTTGCGGTGGTTGTTGCGGTGGTTGTAGTAGTGGTCCTTGCGATGGTTTTGTGTGCAGGTGCCTGGCGTGTGTTCGGAGCGAGTACCGCTGCCACTGGTGCAAGTACCGCCACGTGTGCACCCACGACCCCACCAGCTGCTCCTTCCAGGAGGGCCGCGTCAACACCACCGAGGTGCCGTTGCCACCGCGGGGTCAGAGGGGTGGGGAGGTCACCGCGGGGTCACGGGGGGGGGTGTGTTTCCGGCGGGGGTCACTCTGGGGAGGGCATCGCGAAGTCACTGGGGACAGTCGTTACGATGGGAGCGGTGGGGGGTCACGGCGAGGGGTCACAATCGGATCACCAGGGGGAGGGGATTGAGTTGAGTTTTTGTTGATACCAGCGGAGAGCAGGAGAGGAGCCTCGCTTGCACGAGCGTCCTGGGGGTCACCATCATGACGAAAGCAATGCTCACAAAAACAAGAACAGCAATGAAGCAAACAGAAATCGTAGCAAAAGCAACCGATAATTGTAACTGTCCAATGATTTCTTAACTCGTCCCATGATCATCCAATGATTATCCCTTGACTGTCTATGATCATCCTGTAACCGTGCCATGACCGTCCCTTGACCATCCCGTGACCGTGCGTCCGTCTCTGTGTGATCGCAGGACTGCCCCCAACTGCTCCCCTCTCCGGAGATCCTGATCCCCGTGGGGGTGGTGAGGCCCATCACCCTCAACGCCAAGAACCTGCCGCAGCCGCAGTCGGGTCAGCAGGGCTACGAGTGCGTGGTGAGCGTGGTGGGCACCGAGGTGCGCGTGCCCGCCCTGCGCTTCAACAGCTCCAGCGTGCAGTGCCAGAACACCTCGGTGAGTGTGGTCGTGGTGGTGAGCGTAGGGCTGAGTGTGGTGACGATGGTGTGTGTTGTGTGTGTGGTGTAACGGTTAGCTCCGAACCCAGAGCATGTTGTGTGTGGTGTAACGGTTAGCGTACTGCACTCCGAACCCAGAGTGTGTTGTGTATGGTGTAACGGTTCGCGCAATGCGCTACAAACACAGTGTGTTGTGTGCGGTGTAACGGTTAGCGCAATGCGCTACGAACCCCGCACCTCCGATTAGCACGGTTGGCTACATAATACAGACCCAAGTTCGATTCTCGCTCACGGCCAACATCGGTGACGACGATCTTAACGAGGCCTGTGTGTGCGTGCGCGTGACGTTGCTCAGTACACGTACGAGAGCGGCTCCGTGAGTGACCTGCCGGTCGATTTCTCTGTGCTGTGGAACGGCCACTTCGCCATCGACAACCCCACCAACATCAAGGGTACCGCCACGTACACAAGCACACGCACGCACACACACACGTGCACTCCCGCCTGTACAACTTCAGCGCCGCGCTGTACTGTTGTGCCGTAGCGTTGCGCCGCCTTGTGCCTCCCCCCTGCAGTTCACCTGTACAAGTGCGGTGCGGCGCGCGACAGCTGCGGCCTGTGCCTGAAGGCCGAGCCCAAGTTCACGTGCGGCTGGTGCCAGCCCGAGGGGAAGTGCTCGCTCAAGCAGCATTGCAGCCAAGCGGCCGTCAACTGGATGCACCTGCTGGTGGGGTCGCGGCGGTGCACGCACCCCCGCATCACCCAGGCGAGTCGCGTGCAGCTACGCGTACGCGCACGCACGCGCACACGTACGCGCGCGCACGTATGTATGTACCCCCGCATCACCCAGGCGAGTCCCCATGCAGATATGCACGTATGCTGACAAAGACAAAGATCCCCCGTGTAGCCTCAGCAGACATTTGGAGCAAGTGCTGTTAGCGAGCATCTACGAGGGACCGCACAGCACACGAGGAGGCCGGTGGCTAGCACTATGCCCGGCTGTTTTTTCCTCCCTCGTGGCAATGTTTACACACCGGTTCAGATGTTTGTCACTGGTGTTGGTCATGAGCGGGAATCGAACTCTGATCACCTGATTCGTAGCGCAGCTCGCTAACCGCTACACTACTGCTCCCCATAGCAGCCAAATACTTTAACCGCATGTTAGTTCTAAATGTGGAGGGAAAAACCGGAGGACCCGCAGAAAAATCAACGCCACCATGGGGAGAGAGACATGCAAACTCCAAATATACAGGCGTCAGGGTTTGAATCGAACCCACGATCTCTGGCATAACAGGCAAGGTAGTTTTAACATTTCGCCACCATGGTAGGCACCCAAGCAGATGTTAAATATCCCTGTGATGCCATTCGCAATAATTGGGCACTGTGTGCCGAAAATTGACAACCTCATTGCCCCCTCCTACTGCGAAAGCCTGGCAGGGCCCTCCTCGAAGAGAGTCGGGAGACTCGGCGAGGCTTCCACGGCACATGACGAGGAATAGTAAAAATCACAAGGTCGCATCGAGCTAACGGGGGGGGGGGGGGTCAGAGGTCGGAGGCGAGAAGGAGCCTTGCGAGGGGTCGCAGGTGAGAGCGGCGCATGTCCCCACCCCGTGCCCGCAGGTGACCCCAGCCACGGGGCCGCGGGAGGGCGGCACGCGCGTCACGATCCGCGGAGAGAACCTGGGCCTGGAGCTGTACGAGGTGACGGAGCACGTGATGGTGGCCGGCGTGCGCTGCCTTCCCCTGCAGCACGAGTACATCAGCGCCGAGCAGTGAGTCGGCCCGCTTTCTAACTTGGGTGCTCACGCGCTCGCTCACAATTTCACTCGATCACGCGCTCACTCATATGCTCACTCACGCACTCGCTCAGTCACTTGCTGAGTGATTCACTAATGCTCTCACTCATGCGCTCACTACTCGCTCACACGTTCAATCAAACTGGATCACTTGCTCGTTGTATTTCCGTGTGTGTGTGGCGTGGCAGGATCGTGTGTGAGATGGAGGAGGCCGGCCGCTCCGATCCCCCGTCCGGCCCCGTCCGCGTCTGCGTCAACGTCTGTCTCCCCGAGTATACGGCCGTGTCGCAGCAGCACTACCGGTTCACGGTGAGGCGCGCGGTGTGATGCGGTGCGACGCGGTATCGCACAACGTGCGTTACGGCCGTGTCGCAGCAGCACTACCGCTTAACGGCGACGCGCGTGGTGCGACGCGGTGCGCGCTGTGGTTGGCGCCGCAGCGGGGTGTGTTGTGGTCGGGCTCCGTGGTGACCCTTGCCGCGTGTGGGACCCCCCAGGTACCGGTGCTGAGTGGCCTCCGCCCGGACAAGGGCCCCGTGTCGGGCGGCACCACCGTCACTGTGCTGGGAAGCAACCTCGACGCCGGCAGCACCGTGGCCGTCACCTTCAACAACAACAGCTGCCGCTTTCTCAGGTGGGACGGCCGGCCACACCGCGGCACGCGTGGCCACACAGGCCACACACGGCAACACCGCAACGCGGACAGCACCACCGCACGCACTGTAACGCTACTCCACATTTCGGCCACACTTTGGGCACGTCCTCGCCGCACTCCGCACACACACACACACGACACAGCCGGCCGCATTGTGCGTCTCCAGTTCCTTCCGTCTGTCCCTATTTCACAATATCACGTGACTCTACGCATCTCCCCGCTCCCCCCTACGCCATCCCCCCCCACCCCCCCGTGTGGCATGCAGACGCTCCGCCACGGAGCTGGTGTGCGTCAGTTCTGGCGCGAGCTCGGGGCTGGGCCGGGCGCGCGTGGCGCTGCACATCGACCGCGCCAGTGTGCACAGCGAGCTGGCCTTCGAGTACCGGGATGACCCCACGGTGACACGCGTCGAGCCCGAGTGGAGCATCTACAAGTACGCCCGCCTCTCCGCTTTCCCTTCCTGCGTCTCCGCTCTCTCTTTCTCACCTCTCCCTCTGCCTCTGCTGTCCCAACGTCTCCGCTGTGCCAGTGTCTCCGCTCTCACTGTCTCCATTCCCTCTGCGTCTCCACTCTCTGTGTGTCTCCCCGCGTCTCCCATTCTTGTCGTCTTCACGTATTTCCCCAATTTCACCCCGAGTGTCCATGTTGTGTCACGCGATGAGACGACCTTTGCGTGGCGCAGACCAGCGTCTATGCCTGGCGAGCGTTTGTGTGCGTGTGCGGCGTTTGTGTGTGGGTGTGTGCAGCGTTGTGTGTGGAACGTTGTGCGCGTGTGGCGAGCCCCGGACCTGACGGCGTGTGCGTGGTGCTGCGGACGCTTCTGTCCGTGTGCAGCGGCAGCACGATGGTGACCGTGACGGGGACCAACCTGGCGCTCATTCAGGAGCCCAAGATCCGCGTCAAATTCAACGGCTCCGAGAGCATCAGCGTGAGTAGGGGGCCGCGCACGCACGGGAAGAGCGGGGAGAGCAGAGACAGCAGAGACACGGAGAGAGCGGAGACACGGGGAGGGTGGAGACACTGGGAGAGCAGAAACACGGGGAGGGTGTGTGGACATACGGGTGGATTGTGGAGACATGGGGAGAGTGGAGATGCAGAGAGAGTTGAGATAGTAGGATAATTGAGGCACTGGGAGAGTGGAGACCGGTCTTGGGCGAACATCAGCACAGGTAAGACAAAAATGGCCAAGTTTGGGGTTGGCCACCCGCTCTTTTGTGTGCCGTACCACCTTTCATAGGTGCTAGTTAACAACACTTCCCACATCTCTCTGTTAAAGGTTACGCCGGGTTTCTTTGTCTTCGTGTGAGCTGGTGGCAAGAGTGGGGGCGAAGGTGTTTAGCCCTACGAACACCCTGACTGGTTTAATTTCCAACCACGGCTAAACATCGTTGACGCGTAACAACTGAACCAGTGCTGAGTCTGCCCTAGGCCGACTCCCCACCTTTATGTGGGCGAGCGTGGCCCCGCCCACACCGCCCACTCCGCCCCCGTGCGCCGTACCGTCCTTGGTAGGCGTTGACCGTGCGCGCATGCCTGTGTGAGCAGCCCTGCGAGGTGGTGAACGGAAGCCACATGGTGTGCCGGGCCCCCGGGCTGCCCCTGGCCGCTGGCCTTCCGCTGGCCGACGCCGAGGTGCGACCCGACGAGTTTGGGTTCGTCCTGGACGCGGTGTCGGCGCTGCTGGCCATCAACAACTCGGCCTTCCTTTACTACCCCAACCCCTCCTTCGAGATGCTCAACCCCACCGGCACGCTCGAGATCAAGCCTGGAGCACCCATCATCCTCAAGGTAGCGGCCTCTACTGGCTGCACGAACTGGGGGGGCTTGCTGTGAGGGGGCCGGGAGTGGGGGGGTAGCTAATGCGGCCCGGTGGTAGCACGTGTGCCGCTTGTCGCAGATATTGCCAGTTCAAATTCAGCAGGCCGCCCTGGCGAATACTATGGCGATGTTCCGTGTTAACCGTAGTGGATGTTAAAGATCCCGTGATGTAATTCGCAAGAGTCGACCGTTGTCTGCCAGTGTCACGGTCGAAAAAAAAAGTTTGCTCGTCTTGCAAAACACTCGCAGACCAAGTTACTCGCAATCCAAGGTTTTACTGTAACTGCGATATCTGACGCTCACTCTGCTTCTTGTTGCGAGCATTGTCCTTCAGCTGGGGAGCCGAAACGGTCGTAGTTGGTGCAGTCGTCTGAAGTGTCCAAGTGTGTTCTGTGTGACCAGCTGAGGAACACAAGCGAGCAGGGGACAGGAGTCGTTTGCCAGAGGGAACTGGGGCATGAGTCTGCTGCCAGCAGGGGGATGATGATGATGATGATCGCTCCGCTGTGTGAGGGATCACAACGGAGTGATTTTTTGCTGTGTTATATATATTTTTTTCAAATTTAGCCGACTCTTCGCGGTTTACGTCACGGGATCTGTAACGTTGACCGATCGCAGCGGACGGTGCCGCTTGGTCGTAGTAGGCTCGCCGTGTCGTGCAGTTACAATGTAAAGGCGCAGCCCTGAAACTGTTCGCTCGCGGCACTGCTGGCGGAGGGGTGGGGGGGGGGTAACAGTGGTAGCGGCGGTGTCCGTCCACGTCGCCCATGCTGTCACTCGTCCCCAGGGTCGGAACATTGTTCCGCCGGGCGGGAAGCTCAACTACTCGGTGATGATCGGAGACCACCGGTGCGAGGTGACGGTGTCGGAGACGCAGATCCTGTGCGAGTCGCCCAGCATCACCGGGCGCCACCGTGTGCTGGTACGTGCGTCACACGGGGGTGTCGGGGTGGGGGGAGGGTGGTGGGCGCCACCGTGTGCTGGTACGTGCGTCACACGGGGGTGTCGGGGTGGGGGGAGGGTGGTGGGCGCCCACCATATGCTGGTACGTGTGTCACAGGGGGTGGGGGTGGGGAGTGCGCCACATGCATGTGTGTTTCCGTGTCTGTGCATGTGTGCCTGTGTTCGTACGCGTAGCCATTGCAGAGCTCGCAGACCGATGTAAATGAGTTCACGAGCGATCGGCCTCAACAATCCCCTGAAGAGCACACAGGGTGGTGACCTGTGTGCGGGACAGGTGGCTATACGGGGTATCTGTGTGCGTGGGTGCGGGACAGGTGGCTATACGGGAGATCTGTGTGTGTGCGTGTGGGGCAGGTGGCTATACGGGGTATCTGTGTGTGTGCGTGCGGGGCAGGTGGCTATACGGGAGATCTGTGTGCGTGTGTGTGTGGGGCAGGTGGCTATACGGGGTGTGTGTGTGTGTGCGTGGGGCAGGTGGCTATACGGGGTATCTGTGTGTGTGGTTGCGGGACAGGTGGCTATACGGGGTATCTGTGTGCGTGGGTGCGGGACAGGTGCCTATACGGGAGATTTGTGTGTGTGGATGCGGGACAGGTGGCTATACGGGGTATCTGTGTGCGTGGGTGCAGGACAGGTGCCTATACGGGAGATTTGTGTGCGGGACAGGTGGCTATATGGGGTATCTGTGTGTGTGCGTGCAGGACAGGTGGCTATACGGGGTATCTGTGTGCGTGAGTGGGGGGCAGGTGGCTATATGGGGGTATCTGTGTGTGTGTGCGTGGGGCAGGTGGCTATACGGGGTATCTGTGTGCGTGAGTGGGGGGCAGGCGGCTATACGGGGTATCTGTCTGTGTGTGCGGGACAGGTGGTTATACGGGGTATCTGTGTGTGTGTGCGTGGGGCAGGTGCGCGTGGGAGGGAACGAGCAGTCCCCCGGGATGGTGCATATCTACTCGGACAGCCTGCTGAGCCTGCCCACCATCGTGGGCATCGCGGTGGGGGGCGGCCTCCTCATCTTCATCATCGTCGCCGTGCTCATCGCCTACAAACGCAAGTCCAAGGAGAGCGACCTCACGCTGCGCCGCCTGCAGATGCAGATGGACAACCTGGAGTCGCGCGTCGCGCTCGAGTGCAAGGAGGGTGAGTGCAGCGTGCGGCCACTCGCTCCACGCTCACCGCTCCACGTTCGCCGCTCACCGCCCCACGTTTAACGCTCACCTCTCGTGTGTGTGCGTGTTCGTGTATGTCTGTGTGCGCGCGTGTGTGTAACTGTGATGTGTGATCGTCGTGCGTGCGTGCCCGCGGTGTCTTGCGCAGCCTTTGCGGAGCTGCAGACTGACATCAACGAGCTGACCAGCGACCTGGACGGCACGGGCATCCCCTTCCTGGACTACCGCACGTACGCCATGCGCGTGCTCTTCCCCGGCATCGAGGAGCACCCGGTGCTCAAGGAGCTGGAGGTTCGCAGTGTGTGTGCGCGTGTGTACACACGTGTGTGAGGAGTGGTAGCGCAGCAGTTGATGTGCTGCGCTACGAATCCGGCGACCCGAGTTCGATTCACGCTCAAGGCCACCTCCTGCGACGATTATCTGAACCGGTCCTGGGCCTCCCCTACGTCAACTCGCCCTCAAATCAGTGCCTGGTGCGGTGTGTAAACATCTCCACTAGGGAGACAAAGGCGGCAGGGCGTGGTGCTGGCTACCCACCCCATTGTGTGGCATGCCAGCCTTTCCCCCCAAGAGTGTGTGGAGGCTACGCTGGAGTGCGGATGGTTGTCTTTGTGCGCGCGCGTCGATTTGAACTTGCGCGCGCGCGTTGCGTTGTGCCGCGCAGGTGCCCGGGAACCGGCAGGAGAGCGTGGAGAAGGGCCTCAAGCAGTTTGGGCAGCTGCTCAACAACAAGGCCTTCCTGCTCACCTTCATCCGCACCCTCGAGTCCCAGCGGAGCTTCTCGATGCGCGACCGCGGCAACGTGGCGTCGCTCATCGCCACGGCGCTGCAGGGCAAGATGGAGTACGCCACCGACGTCCTCAAGCAGCTGCTGTCCGACCTCATCGACAAGAACCTGGAAAGCAAGAACCACCCCAAGCTGCTGCTGCGCCGGTCAGCGCGGGGTTCCGCACGCACGCACGCAGAAGCAAATCTCACCCGTATAGCCTGAACAGGCCGTTGGGGCGAGAGTGCACATTAGCGAGTGGCATCTATGAAGGCCCGGCACTGCACACGAGGGGGTGGGTAGCCAGCACCACGTCCGGCTGCCTTTGTCAGTGATGATGTTTTACACACCCCACCGAGTACTCATTTGAGGCAAAGTCTACCTAGGGGGAGGCCCATACACACACACACGCACTCGCTGTGGTGTGAATGTTGAGAGTGACTCCCTGCCTCTCTCTCTGTGCCAGCACGGAGTCCGTAGCTGAGAAGATGCTCACCAACTGGTTCACATTCCTACTGCACAAGTTCCTCAAGGTGAGCGGGGGTGGCATCTCCACTCACCGCACATCTCCCTCACCACCTGACTCACCACACGTGTCCCTCACCACCTGACTCCACCGCACGTGCCCCTCACCACCTGACTCACCACACGTGTCCCTCATCACCTGACTCACCACACGTGCCCCTCACCACCTGACTCCACCACACGTGCCTCTCACCACCTGACTCACCACACGTGCCCCTCACCACCTGACTCACCACACGTGCCCCTCCTCCACCTGACTCACCACACGTGTTCCTCACCACCTAACTCACCACACGTGCCCCTCACCACCTGACTCACCACACGTGCCCCTCAACACCTGATTCAACCCACTCACCACCTGCCCCTCTGTTCTCTCCAAGTCTTCCTGGGTCCATTTGTGTACGTGTACGTGTTTACATGTTTGCACGTGTGTGTGCATATTTGCACGTGTGTGTACGTGTTTACGCATGCGTGTGTGTACGTGTTTACACATGCGTGTGTGTATGCCCTTGTGCGTGTGTGCTTGTGTGTGTGCATGCAGGAGTGCGCCGGCGAGCCCCTCTTCATGCTCTACTGCGCCATCAAGCAGCAGATGGAAAAGGGGCCGATCGACGCCATCACGGGCGAGGCGCGCTACTCGCTCAGCGAAGACAAGCTCATCCGCCAGCAGATCGACTACCGCACGCTCGTGAGTACTCCACGTGGTCCCGGGTCCTGAGCCACATGCACTGAGCCCCCATGCCCCGGGCCTCGTACCCCCGTGCCTCCGTATCCCGGGCCCCGTGCCCCAGTGCCCCCGTGCCCTCAAGCCCCGTGCCCTCAAGCCCCGTGCCCCGAGTCTCCGGGCCCCGTGCTCTCCCACCTCTGCACCCTAGGCCCCATAACCCAAGCCCCGAGCCTTGAGTTGAGTCCCGGTAATTATTCAATTGGGATGACACGTCACCCCCTGCTCTGAAAACTTGGCATGACCCTCCTGAAAAGGAGTTATGGGACTCCGCGAAGCTCTCCTGGGTGAACAAACAAAATGGGGCCGGGCTGTGTTGATCTGCCGCTTGGCCCAGTTTCGCTGCTATTGAGTGAACCGTTGTCATGCTGCTGCTACCGTAGCAGCTGAAATTGACGTCAGTGCTGCCGTTGTTGTTTGTTGGCGTTGTTGTTGACGTACTTGCCGTTGTTGTCTGCGGTGGCACGGCCGCTGCAGACGCTGAACTGCGTGAACCCGGACAACGAGAATGGGCCCGAGGTGGCGGTGAAGCTGCTCAACTGTGACACGGTGACGCAGGTCAAGGAGAAGCTGCTCGACGCCGTCTACAAGAACGTGCCCTACTCGCTGCGCCCCAAGAGCGTCGACATGGACCTGGGTGGGCACGCACACGTACACACACACGTACACGCACACGTACACGCACACGTACACGCACATGTACACACACATGTACACACACACGTACACACACATGTACACACACATGTACACACCTCCGATTAGCACGGTTGGCTACTTACGGTGTGAAATAAGTTCAACATGCATACGTACATCCACCTTCACACAACAAAGATCCCTCGTACAGCCTTAACAGACTGTTTGGGCCGGTGCTGTTAGCGAGCACCTGTGAAGGCAGGCACGGCACGTGAGGGGGTGGGTGCCGAGCACCTGCCCGGCCGCCTTTGTCTCCCCAGTGGCGATGTTCACACATCGCACCAGGTCCTCACTCATTTGAGGCTGAGTCGACTTCGGGGAGGCCCATGACCAGTTCAGGTAATTGCCCATGGTATTGGCCACGAGTGGGAATCGAACTCAGGCCACCGGGTTCGGAGCGCAGCGCGCTGACTGCGACACTACCCTTCCTCACACACACACACGTACGCACATGTACACACACACACGTACGCACATGTACACACACACGTACGCATATGTACACACACACGTACGCACATGTACACACACACGTACGCACATGTACACACACACACACGTACGCACATGTACACACACATGTACGCACATGTACACACAAACACACGTACGCACATGTACGCAGTGTGGTGGATGACATTGAGACGGTCGGTGTCTGGTCGAGTCTTCAACGTGGGTTTGAGGAATCACTGAAGTGAGGTTGACGGGAAGAGTAGCCATGGTAGTAGCTATCGAAGAGTGACAAGAACTTACACACGCGGGGGTCACTGTGCATGCAGAGTGGAGGCAGGGGCGCATGGCCCGAATCATCCTGCAGGACGAGGACATCACCACCAAGATCGAAAACGACTGGAAAAGACTCAACACGCTCGCCCATTACCAGGTCACCTTGCCACCAGGTCACCTCACCATTATTTAACCTGACCACCAGGTCACCTCGCCACCAGGTTACCTGACCACCAGGTCACCTCGCCACCAGGTAACCTTGACACCAGGCCACCTCGACACCAGGTAACTTTACCACCACCTAAGCTCCCAGCACGTGGAGCGAGGCACCGAACGGCGTGACCGCGCGTGTGACTGTGTGACTGCGCCTGACCGCGTGTGTGACTGTGTGACTGTGTGTGACTGTGTGTGACTGTGTGTGACTGTGCAGGTCGCTGACGGCTCCATTGTGGCGCTGGTTCCCAAGCAAACGTCATACATCGCCAACCCCACGGTGCTGCCGCGCCCCTCCGTGAGCCGATACGGTGCGTGCCACAACGCCAGCGTGAACCATCAACCCCAACCAACAACCCCCAACCGCAACCCCCGATTAGCACGGTTGGCTACGTACGGTGCGAAAGACGTTCAACACTCATGTATACATACAACCCGTACCACCAACCACAACCCATACCATTAACCCCCAACCACTACCCTTACCACAAACCCCCAACCACAACATCAACCTGTACCACCAACCCCAAATTGCAACCCCAACCCATACCACCAACCCCCAATCACTTCCCAAACCCATACCACCAACCCCCAACTGCAACCCTAACCCATAGCACCAACCACAACACCAACACATACCACCAATGGCATGAACCAGTGCTGGTGAACTGCCAGAACCTTATCGGCAAGGAGCCACTCTGTTTGTTATGGAGAGAAGAAAGGACTTTCCAACTGAGTCGCTAACCTTGTACCCATGACCCCCCCCCACCCCCCTCATCCCCCTTGCAACAGAGAACATGATCCGGTACGCGGGCAGCCCGGACTCGCTGCGCTCGCGCACGCCCATGATCACGCCCGACCTGGAGAGCGGCACCAAGCTGTGGCACCTGGTGAAGAACCACGACCACGCCGACCAGAAGGAGGGCGATCGCGGCAGCAAGATGGTGTCCGAGATCTACCTCACCCGGCTGCTAGCCACCAAGGTGAGGACGCACCGTCCTTCCGTCCCCGTGACCTGGGATCCATCTCACCTGGTCGCTCGCCACCAAGGCGAGGAGACTCACACCGGCCCCCCTACGCTGGGATCCATCTCACCTGGTCGCTCGCCACCAAGGTGAGGACACTCACACCGGCCCCCCTGCCCTGGGATTCATCTCACCTGGTCGCTCGCCGCCAAGGTGAGGACACTCACACCGGCCCCCCTACGCTGGGATCCATCTCACCTGGTCGCTCGCCACCAAGGCGAGGAGACTCACACCGGCCCCCCTACGCTGGGATCCATCTCACCTGGTCGCTCGCCACCAAGGTGAGGACACTCACACCGGCCCCCCTACGCTGGGATCCATCTCACCTGGTCGCTCGCCACCAAGGCGAGGAGACTCACACCGGCTCCCCTACGCTGGGATCCATCTCACCTGGTCGCTCGCCGCCAAGGTGAGGAGACTCACACCGGCCCCCGTACGCTGGGATCCATCTCACCTGGTCGCTCGCCACCAAGGCGAGGAGACTCACACCGGCCCCCCTACGCTGGGATCCATCTCACCTGGTCGCTCGCCACCAAGGTGAGGAGACTCACACCGGCCCCCCTGCCCTGGGATCCATCTCACCTGGTCGCTCGCCGCCAAGGCGAGGACGCGCGCACACGGTGCGTGAGCAAGAGTCACGCTGTGCGTCGTCGTGCAACTCGCGTCTCTCGCGATCGCCGAGGAGGAACCACGGACGTGCGAAAAGTCAGCGGCGGCAGCAGCAGCAGCAGCAGCCACGCGCCGAGTGCCCGGCGCTACCAACAGTTGCCCAAGGTCTGCGGTCCTCTGTAGGTTGAGATGTTTTCAGCCAATTATTGAGCATTTACACACGTGGGAGGAGACCGGAGCACCCGGAGGTCACCCACCCGTGCGAGGGCGCAACACTCTATGCCACACCGCCTTCCTCTTGGCAAGCCAGGGTATGGCTTCTCCTCGACGCGCACGGGAAGGTAGAGTGTCGCAACATTAGCGTGATACACCGAGCCTCACTGCCTGCCTCCACAGTGCTGGATTACAGGCCACGTGCGTAGCCACCACCACCGCCGCCGCCGCCCAACTGAATGAGGTTGAGTCATCATTGACAAGAGCCACCCCCCACTATACGTGTCGCACAGCGCTTTACATCTCCCGTCTCATCTCGAACATTTGAACGAGGAACCCCCAGCGGCAGCTGGCAGTGTGGCACGAGGTGACTCAGCAGCTGGCCAGCAGAGGGCGTTGGTCTGTCGGTAGCGGGCCATGAGTGCTGCTGCTGCTGTGCGTGATCCCATTTGAGGAGTTTGCATCACCTCAACGTTCCATTGCCTCAACACGCAGCGGACTACGTTGTGATTTGTCATGCATTATTAGATTAGCCCACGTAAGGATCTGGCCGACACGGCCAAACAAATGACACGGTCGCATGCGCGCGAGTGATGTATGACTCGCCGGCGGGAGGCGCAGGAAGCCGATTGCCGATGCTGCTCACGAGCCGGCCTGCGGACGTGCGTGCATGGCACTGCTGACGAGCGGGAGTGTGTGCGGTGCTGCAGGGCACGCTGCAGAAGTTTGTGGACGACCTGTTTGAGACGATCTTCAGCACGGCGCACCGCGGCAGCTCGCTGCCCCTCGCCATCAAGTACATGTTCGACTTCCTGGACGAGCAGGCCGACCGGCACACCATCAGCGACCCCGACGTGCGCCACACGTGGAAGAGCAACTGGTGAGCGTGGGTGGGTGAGCGTGGGAGGTGAGAGTGTGTGTAGGTGTGAGCGTGGGCGTGTTGGTGAGAGTATGTGTTGGGTGAGCGTGGGGGTGAGAGGGTGTGAGCTTGGGGGTGAGCGTAGAGTTCCAGTGCGCTCTCCACCGTTCACACAACGCGAGCTCCACTCGGCCTTCGGCGAGCATCTGGCGCGCCGTGCCAGCGCCGGCGCCGGAGAGACAGAGACGGACGCGGGCAGGCGGCCGGGGTTAACGTTGCTCGTACCTGCGCGCGTCTCCTCCTCCTCGCAGCCTGCCGCTGCGCTTCTGGGTGAACGTGATCAAGAACCCGCAGTTCGTGTTCGACATCCACAAGAGCAGCATCACGGACGCGTGCCTCTCCGTCGTCGCGCAGACCTTCATGGACTCGTGCTCCACCTCGGAGCACCGGCTCGGCAAGGACTCGCCCTCCAACAAGCTCCTCTACGCCAAGGACATCCCCAACTACAAGAACTGGGTGGAGAGGTAAGCGCTAGAGGGGGGGAGGGGAGGGCGCCGGGGGGAGGGGGCGGGAGGGACCGGCGATAGCGGTCGCGTCGACGGCGGTGCCGGTGATGGTCATGGCGATGGCGGTGATGGTCATGGCGGTGGCGATGATGGTCATGGCGGTGGCGGTGATGGTCATGGCGATGGCGTTGACGGTGTCCGCGCGTCCCAGGTACTACTCGGACATCGGCAAGATGGCCGCGATCAGCGACCAGGACATGAACGCGTACCTGGCGGAGCAGTCGCGCCTCCACGTCACCGACTTCGCCACCATGAGCGCCCTCAACGAGATCTACGCCTACGTCACCAAGTACAGCGACGAGGTGTCCGCAGCGTTCATGTGTGTGGAGGTGCGAGTGAGCGGTAGTGTAGCGGTTAGCGCTACGCTGCACCACAAACTCGGCGAACTGAGTTGGATTCCCGCTCACGGCCAACACCAGTGACGATTATCTGAACCGGTCCTGGATCTCCCTTAGGTCGAATCGGCCTCAAATGAGTAGCTGGTGCGATGCTTAAAAATATAGCCACTCGGGAGAGAGGCGTAGTGCTGGTCACCTACCCCCTCGTGTGCCATGCCAGTCTTCATAGGTGGTCGCTAACTACACTTGCCCCAACAGTATGTTATGGCTATACGGGGGATCTTTATCTTTGTGTGGAGGTGTGTGTGTGTGTGTGTGTAAGCGCCGCCACGTCTCTCCTGCAGATCCTGTGCGCGCTGGAGGGCGAGGATCAGGCCAAGAGGCAGAGGCTGGCCTACAAGCTGGAGCTCGTCATGGCCTGCATGCGGGGCAGCACCTGACCGCCGGTGCCCGTTTCCCCCGCGCGGCCACAACCGACGAAAACCACCTCCGCCACCTCCTCCTCCTCCACCTCCTCCACCTCCGCACCCGTGTACGATGACCGATGGCACTCCGTGGGGGGTTTTCATAGGAAACGCTCGTCACTTGGGGCAAAAAACGCTGGAGACCGTGTCCGCCGTCGCGGGTGGGGGGGGGGGGGGCGGCTGTGGCGGCGCGACCCTCACCTTTTGTAATCTCCGTGTGAAGCCGTTTCTCAATCCTCGCCGGCGGGGCCGCCGCCGCACCCCGATTGTTTACACGTGCATGTGATCGCTAGCAACCCGTGTTCCGCTTGTGCCACCCCCCCCCCCCCCGTTATCCCCCTTCCCCACCTTTGTCCTACCCTCGTGTGGTGCAAAGCATTCTGGGGAAGTCAGGAAGGGCGTGGTGTTGCCGCTGGTGGGGGGGGGGGCCGGCTGCACCCCCCCCCCCCCTCCGTTGTTCGTATAATTTTTTTTAGCGACCCCCGCATGTCCCGCCGCACCGCGCTTTCCCCTTTCTCCCGTCCGCCACGGATCGCGAGCAGCGCCACAAAACCACTGCTTCTGTGCGAGGGGCGAGGGGGGTGCAGGGGGTTGGGGGGTGGGGCGGTCTTTGCGAACTTTTTCATAGGAGATGCTGAGAATCTTGACAGCTTCAGTCAAAATCGGCAGTGTGAATGGCAGCTGCTGCTGCTGTCGTCATCTGGCCATGTTTTGGTTATTAATGAAGAATTCAGTTCATGATTTAACCTGACGCTACAGGCGCGCTCATTACAGGCGCGCTCGTTAACTTGACACTACAGGCACGCTCGTTCACCTGACGTTACAGGCATGCGCGTTAGCCTGACACTACAAGTTCGCTCTCTACAGGCGCGCTTGTTAACCTTACGCTACAGACGCACGCGTTTACTTGACACTACAGGCGCGCTCGTTAACCTTACGCTACAGACGCACGCGTTTACTTGACACTACAGGCGCGCTCGTTAACCTGACACTACAGGCGCGCTCGTTCACCTGACACTAGAAGCTCGCTCACTACAGGCGCGCTCGTTAACCTGACACTACAGGAGCGGTCATTAACCTGACGCTGCAGGCACGTGCCGAGCGAGTGTGTGTGGGGATCGCGTCGGGGTGACGAGGCGGGCTGTCACGCATGTCTAATGCCCCTCGCGCTCGCCCGGGAGGAGCAGAGTGAATCTGCGATCGCGGCTTTGCGGCGCGTGACGGCCCCAGGTCGTGAAGGCCCCTGGGGCTGCGTCACTCTTACCTGGACAATCGCCCTGTGGCTCGGACACAACGGGGCGGGAGGCGGTGGGGGGGGGGGGGGACCTCTGGGTGCGTTCCGTGAGCAACGACTTGAATGTGAGCGAGGGGACGCAGGCCGCGGAGTCTCCGCCGCAGAGATGCTCGTCGCCCGCGGCGAGAGAGGCCCGACTTCGATTTGAACCGTCTGTGCGCGTTGCCGCCGCGAGGCCCCCCCCCCCTCCTACCCTGGCCTCTCATCGCTCGGTGGCGCTCACGGAAGTGGTGGGAGAGTTCGGGGGGGGGGGGGGGCGGGCGGGGGGGGGGGGGCGGCCGAGCGCGCCGCTGTGACGCCAACCGTGCTCTCGTGCCGACTGTCCACGGAGCTATAGGACCAGAAGCCATTTCTCCCGTTTTCGCGATACCGGGCCGAGCGCCGGTGTGCGCGGATGAGCGACTGCGCCCAAGGGGTGGGGGGGGGGGGGCAGCGGGGCGGGGGGGTGGGTGAGCGCTCGAAGGTTTCTTGCGCTGGGGGGGGGGGGGGTGGGTGGGTTGGGGGCCAAGGTACCGAATCTCGATCCGGAATCGCGTCACTGCGTTTGGTTTTGCAGCGCGCGACGCCGATCCCCTTGACCCCGTCCCGTGCTCAGAGTCTGCGATTCGAGGAGCTGGAGCCAGGGGTTAGGGGGCCGTGATCGTGGGGAAGGGGGAGCAGGGGAGGGGTGGGGGGGTGGACGGCCGCCCTGCCTGTAGTCGACAGATTTGCACATGTTCTAGGAGACTTCGTTAGTATTTCTACTTTTGATAGAGTACGCTTTCCGTTTTGACTGCATGATATAGAAACAAACATTTCCATGCGCGACCTTTACGTTGAACGTTTGAAGAAGAAGAAGAAGAGGAGGAGGAAGAAGCTGTCATTTTGCAGGATGAGCCGACGATCGGACACGCTGCGGGGGGGCGGGGAGGGAGGGGGGGGGGGCTGCGTAATAACGATGTGTTGTGCAAATGTCGCGAAGGCCGGTGCGGGACCGGGGGCTGGTGGTGGGGGGGGGGGGTGCAGTAGTACGGGGGGGTACGGGAGTTCCGTGCGTGGCTCTGGCGGGTGGGGGGGGCCCTGTCCGCAGCCCCCTCCCCCCCCCCCCCCCAACCGGCCTTCGTCCTCGACCCTCGTGAATCATATACAGTAAGTATTTTCATGTGAAGAGGTCCAATCGTGTAGCTCGGTCAATGTCCTTGTGGTTCTAGTGTTACTCACACATCCCCTCCACCGGGGGGCCGCGGAGTGCGAGGGACAGCACCGCGCGGGCGGGGGGTTGGGCGGGCGGGGGTCGGGCGGGTGGGGGGTGGGAAGAGGAGGTGGGCGCCTTCTACCCCCCCCCCCACCCCGTACCGCCACCTCCCCCCCCACACAGGGTCCACTGCTGCCAAAGCGAACCTGGTCGCGCCGTGCTTTGCTGCGTGTGTGCGTGAGCGAGTGTGTGACTGTGAGCAAATGTGCACGAGCGTCGGTGAATGTGCGTTTGTGACGGTGAATGAGATGAGCGTGGATGTGAACGAGTGAGTGTGTCCGAGCAAGTGTGTGTCTTGTGTGTCTGCGTGTTTCTCACACTTGACACGTTCATTCATTCGGTCGGCGTGAGAGTCGCAGTGCGTGAATCCGTCAGTGGCAATGTGTACGTAAATATGTAATGACGACTTTTGACACACTTTTCTTGAGATGGTTTCTTTATTCAGGAGCCACGTGCTCACACTCGGACAGACGGAGGCCTCCACTTAAACAGCCCCGAGTCTCCCGCGCATCTCCCTTATATACGATCAGAGGCCACGCCCCCATTCTCGAACCTTCTCGCTGATTCCAGACGCTAGCTCTACCGGCAGACTCCACCATCCTCTTCCGTCACCTGGCCACGCTGCTATTCTCAATCATTCCCGTAGCCACCAGTCCATTCGTACTGCAAGCTGACTGCCCTGTCATTACCTCTCGTGGCCACTAGTCCGCTCACACCGTAGGTTGACTCTACTGTCATTATTAGTCAGCCATGTTACGTACGCTAATGATCTGGTAATTACTGCTCGCTCAGAGAAGGAGTTGGGGGCACTGCTGCTGAATCTGGAGCGTGCTACTAAGAAGTGGGGCCTTACCATCCGCCTCACCAAAACTAAGCACCCATCTGGGTATGCCGTCATCAAACACTCCACCCAAACCTGGGCAGTGCGCTTATGGCCAGCTCTGGTTTGACAGCAGAGGTCGCACTCCGAATCAGTCGGGCGCCATTATCTTTTCCATTGGCTGCGCAACACTGGAAGCTACCTGGTCTGTTGCTCCACATGAATCTTCGGATCTTCTCGGCCACAGTCAATGCAGTCCCTTCTCTTTGCTTGGAAAACGTGGACCCCTCCCCCTTAATGGAACATCTACGTCAGTTAGAAACATTCAGGCTGGCCTGCCCACGATCCATCCTGGTTTTAACCAGGCTGGATTGTGTGGGGAGCTTACAGATTATTGAAAGATATGGACAGTCTGGCAGGCAAGGCTGTGTTGGCTGGGTCATGTAGCCTGCATGCCCAGCCACCGCATGCCCAAACATGGTTTGTTTGACCGGATAGAGGGGGCTAAACGGGCACGCACGGGCTAGAGAAGCGATGGAGTGATGTGGTATTGGATGACATGGAGAGGAGTGGACTTACCGATGACCGGTACCAGCCGTGTCAAGATCGGCCTCTAGAAGGAGGCTCGTGAAGGACGCTACTGGGCAGTCAAGAGGCAGTTTCCCTCCAACAATAGCGGAGGGCAGAGGAGCAACGCTTACAACAATGATCAGACCACTGGGCAGCTAAAACACAAAGTTGGCACAGCAGGGGGCACAGGTGGTGAATCTGCTAGTCATCTCGGTCAGCCCATGGCACCTCGGTCTGTTCTCTGACCTGCCAGTGAGCCTTCAACACGTCACGTGGCCTCACGATGCACCTGGCCTGGCACATGCGCTGTGGCCAATGACGGCCGTTGTATCCAAGCCGTTTAGTGTGCATGACTGACCGAGTGTGTAATTGATGAGTGTGTGACTATTTGAGATCATAGTATGTGTATGCGAGTGCGCGTGTGTACGAGTCTGTACGCGAGTGTGCGCGCGTGCATGTCCCAGTATATTCATGCGTGCGCTTGTCTTCGTATGTACGGCTGCATGCGAGCGAGTGAGTGTGCGCGCGCACGCGTTAGGCCAGTGTGCCCGTGCGAACACGTGCGTGTTGTGCGCGCGCTGTCCCGCGCTCCGCCGGTCGCTCCCGTGGCGTTACTCTGTGGTGGCTGGGGGAGCGGTTGCTACGTGTGGACGCGGTTGCTCCGTGCGACGCGGTTGCTCCGGACTTGGGTCCGTGTTCCCCCCGCTCGCCGCTCCGTGCGGAGCTCGCGGAAGAGTCGCGGAGCCCGGTCCCGCGGTCCGTCCCGGTACTTGAACGACTGTAAATATATGCACTCCTATTTTAAACATCAGAACGAATTTTACTACTTGTACATAAACGATTTTTCAGCAAAAGGTTTACTTAATAAAGTGTGTCATCACCTGCCGAGCGACGTGTCGTGGTGGAACCGAGTGATGGGTGCGGTCTCTGGATACCAGGGTTGTCATCACCATGGAGACTGGATTGGGGTCACCGTGGAGACCCTGGGAGGGGTCATCATAGGGGCCCCGGATGGGGTCTCCGTGAGGGCCCCGGATGGGGTCACCGTGGAGGCCCCGGATGGGGTCACCATGAGGGTCCCGGATGGGGTCTCCATGGGGGTCCCGGATGGGGTCTCCGTCGGGGCCCCGGATGGGGTCACCGTGGAGGCCCCGGATGGGGTCTCCGTGAGGGCCCCGGATGGGGTCACCTTCAGGGCCCCGGATGGGATCTCCTTGGGGGTCCCGGATGGGGTCTCCTTGGGGGTCCCGGATGGGGTCTCCGTGGAGGCCCCGGATGAGATCTCCTTGGGGGTCCCGGATGGGGTCTCCTTCGGGGTCCCAGATGGGGTCTCCGTCGGGGCCCCGGATGGGGTCACCGTGAAGGCCCCGGATGGGGTCTCTGTGAGGGCCCCGGATGGGGTCACCGTGGGGGTCCCGAATGGGGTCTCCGTGAGGGCCCGGATGGGATCTCCGTGGGGGTCCCGGATGGGGTCCCCATGAGGGCCCCGGATGGGGTCACGGTGGGAGCCCCGGATGGGGTCGCCGTGGAGGCCATGGTGAATTTATTGTCTCAAAGCGCGTTTGCCGTGGGCTGCATTTATGGGAGCCTGGAAGGCGGCGGTGCCAATTATGTGCATCGCCTCCCACTCCCACCACGGGGGGACGCTCGCGGAGAGATGTTGGTGTGCATCCCGGGACGAATAGGAATATATTAGGAACGACAATTCGCGTTACGGCTGATGGCAAATTTAAATCCCCGACTGTAAATCCATAACTTCCACCGATAGATGGCGCCTAGTGCTTTGTCTTAAGTCTCTAAGACTACACTAGACACTTAAGACTCATCGAAGTGTTCAAGACATCTGGGAACTGAGATTCCTCCCTCACTCCACGGTGCATGGTCTCGGTGATTTGTGGATTGGGCCCACCGCAGCGCAAGAGTCTGGACGCTCCACACCTGCGGAAGGGAATGCGGCTGGGCTCACGCTCTCGAGGTCCCCCATCACACTCAGGGGTGTGGGTGGGGGGGGGGGGTCCCACGTCCCCGCTCAGTCAGAATAACACGGCGGACGGTGCCGTCTCGCCTCGCTCGCCCTCTTCAAGATCCTGCAGGAACTCCTCGTCCCTCTCATATCACTCCACCCACCCCGGGCGCTCTCCCTACCTCTCCCCTTTCATCTCGCACTACGCCCTTCCCCTGCGCGACCTCGCCTCGCGTCCGACTCGCACAGACCCAAGGATTTCGAAGACAACGCGCAGACTCGCATAAATAACACACAATAACAACCGCCATTCGCCACTAAGTGGCGGTGACGTCACCACGACGCTTGTGCCAGGCTATGTGCACCTTGAGGCCACGTGAAGTGTCGAACGCCCGCTGGCAGGTCACGGGGCAGACCCAGCAGGTGCCACGGGTCGACTGACTGAGATGACTGGCTGATGCACCACCTGTGCCCCCTGTGCCCCCTACTGTGCCAACTTGCTGTGCTTTAGCCACCCGGCGCTCCGCTCGTTGTGAGCGTCAAAAGATCCCCCATATAGCCTTAACAGACAGTAGGGGCAAGTGTTGTTAGCAAGCACCTATGAAGGCCGGAACGGTACACGAGGGGGTGGGTGGCCAGCACCACGCCCGACCGCCTTTGTCTCCCTAGTGGCAATGTTTACACACTGCACCAGGTACTCATTTGAGGCTGAGTCGACCTAGGGGGTGCCCGGGACCGGTTCAGATAATCGTCACTGGTGTTGGCCGTGAGCGGGAATCGAACCCGGGTCGCCAGGTTCATAGCGCAGCGCGCTAACCGCTACATTACCAACAACAACAACCGCCATTCGCCACTAAGTGGCGGTGACGTCACCACGACACTTGTGCTGGGCTATGTGCACCCTGAGGCCACGTGAAGTGTCGAACGCCCGCTGGCAGGAGGTCACGGGGCAGACCCAGCAGGTGCCACGGGTCGACTGACTGAGATGACTGGCTGATGCACCACCTGTGCCCCCTACTGTGCCAACCTGCTGTGCTTTAGCCACCCGGCACTCCGCTCGTTGTTCTGAGCGTCGCTCCTCCGCCCTCCGTTGTTGTTGGAGGGCGACTACCTCCAACTGCCCAGTAGCATCCTTCACGAGCCTCCTCCACAGAGGCCGATCTTGACACCGCTGGTACCAGTCATCGGCAAGTCCACTCAGCTCCACGTCCTCCTGTACCACATCACTCCATCTCTTCTCTAGCCCGTGCCGCGCCCGCTTAGCCCCCTCAATCCGGCCGAACAAAACCTGTTTCGGCATGCGGTGGCTGGGCATGCGGGCTACATGACCCAGCCATCGCAGCCTTGCCTGCCGGAGGAGCTCACCGATGGGACCCTGCCCAGATCTTTCAAGGATTTGTGAGCTCCTCACACAATCCAGTCTGGTTAAACCCAGGATGGATCGTAGGCAGGCCAGCCTAAATGTTTCTAACCGGCGAAGATGTTCCATTAGGGGGGTCCACGTTTCGCAAGCGTAGAGAAGGGAGGGAATGACCGTGGCCAAGAAGACCTGAAGCTTAGTGCGGAGCGACAGACCAGGTAGCTTCCACACAGCGTTACGCAACCGATGAAAAGATATTGCCGCTCGACTGATTCGCAGTGAGACCTCTGCTGTTAAACTCGAGCCAGTCATAAGCACACTGCCCAGGTATGGGAAACTCTCCACTCTCTCCACAACTGCCCCATCACCGATTGGGAGTTGTGGGGGTGGAGTGTCCGATGGTACAAAAATACCCAGGCAGGTGCTTAGTTTTGGTGGGGCTGATGGTAAGGCCCCACCTCTTAGTGGCACGCTCCAGTCTCAGCAGCAGCGTCTCCAACTCCTCCTCTGACTGAGCAGCTATTACCAAATCATCAGCATACATAACGTGGTTGAGCAATAGGGAGCCATCCCTTGACCGCACCCGGGCATCGATTAGCCTCCCATTATATCTGTACCATATGGAGATTCCCCCGGTACAGCTATTGAAGGCTTCACGAACTACGTGGTCAAAATAGATGTTAAATAATGTGGGAGCCAGAGGACATCCCTGTCGCACCCCAAGGTGTACAAGGAATGGCTCTGACTCCCGGCCACGTAGTTTTACCCGGGCCCGCTCACCATCATGAAGGTCCTTAATGATCGTGAGCAGAGGGTCAGGTACTCTAAAAGCACGAAGAACGACCCAGAGTCCAGGCCTACTGATGGTATAATAGGCCTTGACCAGGTCAATAAAGCAGAGATGTAGGTCTTGTTGGAATTCCCTACACCTCTGCTCTAGCAGACTGACAGAAATATGGCATCTGTGCAGGACCGCCCTTTCCTGAAACCGCATTGGGGCTCTGCAAGCCTCTCCTCAGCGTGCCTAGCAAGGCGATGCTGAATAATCCTTGCCAGGACCTTTCCCGGCACACTGAGGAGTGAGATGCCCCTGTAGTTTGTTACAGTCTGTGCGGTCCCCCTTCTTAAAAAGGGGGACCACCAGGGCATCCTTCCAATCCTGCGGAACCCGTCCAGTGGTCCAGACCGTTTGTTATGATGTCATATAGGGCAGTCTGTGCACAAACGCCACCCTCCCTCAGCATTTCGCTTGGGAGATCATCTCTGCCCGCTGCCTTTCCTGGTCTCAGACTCCGGATCGCCTTCAATACTTCCTCAGCAGATGGCACCTCAGCCAGCCACTCACAGGGAGTGACTTCTTCCAATATTTGAGGCACCGCAGCCTCAGCAGGGTCATCCTCACCTTGTGCCACGATGTTTTCCTGGCTGTGGGATTTTCCCTCCCCAGGAACCTCACAGAAATGCTCAGCAAATCTGCGAACCTGTTCCTGGGGGTCGGAGATTGGATCACCGTTTTTTCCCCTAATGATGGTAATAGGTGTGGCGTGGCAGGTTACTTTTTTGATGGAGTTAAATAGAGATTTGTGATCACGGGCCACTGAGGCAGACTCCATCTCCTCAGCAACCCGCAACCACCACCCATCCTTGCAGCGCCTCACGGCTCTCCGAACCTCCGAGCGAAGGCTGCGGTAAGCCTCCTCATTCTCTGACGTGGGATTCTGTAGCCAATGACAGTGGGCCTGTCGTTTTTTCTCAACCATCCTGAACACCTCCTCTGTCAGCTAGGGTCTCTGGGGAGGTCTGGACCGCGTACCCAAAGCAGCCATTGCAGCTCCATGAGTCACAGTCCTAAACCTCGCCCATTTACCCTCGACATCAGGAGGAGTCGAGGACGATGCCAATCCCAGCCGCAAGCGATGATGAAATTCTCGCTTGCAACTTTCATCAGATAACTGAGACCAGGCCACTTTATGTTGGAATGGGGTCCTGGGTGTACACCCACCACCGGAGTGGAAGAATGGCAGGCGCATCTTACAGATGACTAGTCGATGGTCAGAGGGCAGATCAGCTCCACGGTAGGTCCTGGTGTCAAGGACATGGGCTCGCATTCGCTGGTCCGTCACTATGTAGTCCAGCAGATGTTCTTGCTTGGACCCGGCATGCATCCATGATGTTGTGTGGATGCGCCGATGCCGGAACAGCGTGTTGGTAATTACAAGCCCATGGGCTGCACAAAAATCTAGCAGCCTCCTACCGTTGTTATTGAGCTGATCTGGCCCATGCCCTCCAATCACTCCAGACCAGGTGCCAGTATCATGACCAACTCGGGCATTTAAGTCACCCAACATGATGACTCTATCCCGAGGGGCCACTTTAGCCAGCACCTGTGACAGGAGGTCATAGAAGGCATCTTACTCATCGGCTTTGCCTGCATCCCTCCACGGATGTTCATCTTCGGTGGGGGCATAAGTAACCACGACCACCATTCCTCGCCTCCGGTTGATGGGAAGGCGAGCCCAAAGTAGCCTGGGGCTTACAGTTTCCCACACCTCACCGCCACGCTCCCACGCCCCCTTCATTCTTTTGTTCAAAAGAAGACCCACACCCTGTTGTTTGGCAGTCTGCTGCCCCGAGTAGAGGACTGTCCACCCCTCATGGTGGCAGGAGCCAGAGCTGGTCCACCGGACCTCCTGAATGCCGCATAGATCTAGGCGGTACCGGTCCAGCTCCCGACAGAGGAGTGGCAGCCACTCCTCTGCAGTGAGCGTTCGAACATTCCACATGGCCACCCGTAGTGGCTTTTCGTTGTTTCTGGAGTAGCCCCGAGGGTAGGTATTTAATCTCCTGGCTCCGCCAATTGGGGTTTGGCCAGGAGACGTCATAGACGCCTGGCCCCCCGGGGCCTCCGGCACAAGCTTATTTGTTACATATTTCAGTTTAACTCGTGGTTTCGTGGTAATTAATTGAAGGTGGAGGGGTTACCAGCCCCTCGCACCCATCCAGAGCCCCCGTTTAGCCCCTGTAGTGGACACATATGCCATGAGGGGAGGAGCCAATCAAAATTGGATCTCCCCCCACAGCACTGTCCACGACAGAGTTGCCCGTCCGGCACCGCAAGGAGGTAGGGGGTTGTTTTGCCGCACACACTTGCACAGACATCGGATGGTGCCTCCGCTGTCGAGTGATTGCACTCTGCCTCTGTGCGGCGGCGTGAGATGTGGTCACACTCCCACGATAAACGAGTCCACATGTTTGAAAGCTCCGATTTCTCTTTGGTCGTCTCCGCTATTCACTTGCTCGCTGTACTTTATTCCACGCGACGGCTTTTGTAATTCTGCCAACCCCCGGGTCGCTCGCTCCTGCCCGTGAGACTGCCCTCTGCTCCCCCTCGAGTTCTCACAACCACGTGACCCTTGAGCAGTGCAGTTGTGGCCCCGGTGTCCGTCACCGTGGCCCCGGTGACGGACACCGTGGCACCGGTGACGGACACCGTGGCCCCGGTGACGGACACCGTGGCCCACGGAGACGGACACCGTGGGCCCACTGAATGGAGGGAGGGGGGGGGGCTCAACCACAGGGGGGTTCATCTCGCGTGGAGGATCCCCACCATGGCGAAGGGGAGTGACGCGAATCCCGTGCGGAGCCACGCGAGTTATGTAACTCCGTGGTGGCTTTTTTGACGTCGTCTGCAGAAAGCGCGGATTGAGTGCCGGCGGTCTGTCGGTTGAAGGGGGGGGGGCTGATTAATCTCTAATCGCCGAGGCGCCCCGCTGGTAAACAACGGCGACCTGCAAACACCGGGGGGGGGGGGGGGGGGTTATCTTCTCCCGGCGCCGCGCCTCCTGGCCACGTGCCTGCCGGGCCAAGCCCCCTCCTGTCCCCGTGTCTCAGTGCCAGCCCCCCCCCCCCCCGGTGTCCCCCGCGGGAGGGGCAGCCACGGGGTCCGCGTGCCCGCCCCGTGGGGGGGGGGGGGTATCCCCCCCCCTCTATCTCTCAATCCACGCGGTCATCCTCGGTGATTCTACGTCCCCGTCTCGCTCAGTCACGACTGCTGCTGTTGTTGATGGTCGTGGTGGTCGAGGTGGTTGGAGGGATTGAGTCAGCAGGTCCAGGGCACGTGCAGAGAAATTCCTGAGTGAACAGGGCAGATATAGAGGGGTCTACACGGGTCGAGAGAGGGCCTACACAGGTCAAGAGACGTCTAGTGTAGAGACGTCTAGTGTAGAGGTCTAGTGTAGAGGTCTAGTGTGTAGAGGTCTAGTGTGTGTAGAGGTCTAGTGTAGAGGTCTAGTGTAGACGTCTAGTGTAGAGGTCTAGTGTGTGTAGAGGTCTAGTGTAGGGGTCTAGTGTGGGGGTCTAGTGTGTGTAGGGGTCTAGTGTGTAGAGAGTTCTAGTGTGTAGAGAGTTATAGTGTGTAGAGGTCTAGTGTAGAGGTCTAGTGTAGAGGTCTAGTGTGTAGAGGGTCCCCAGCAGGATGCGCTTCACGGCGAGGGTGCGAGGTGAGTGGTTGGCCGTCCCGGGCCGCGCCTCGGACTCCGTCTACTCGCTGGGGCTGGAGGCGCTCAAGCGGTACGTGAAGAACAAGCCGGACCACGGCGGCCTGGGGGCCCTGCCAGAGGTTCGCTTCTCCGTGAGGAGGTGCCAGGGACTGGGCCTCCTGGACCCAGATGACCTCCTGGAGGACGTCCTGCAGGACAACGACTTCGTGGAGCTGGGTGAGGATGGACGAGAAGGAGGAGGGTGGGGGGGATAGAGCCACAGAGTGGAGCGGGGAGTGAGGAGGTCTGGGTGAGGGATGTGAGGGTGTGAGGATGATGAGGTGAGGGGTCTGGAGACTGGTTGAGGTGAGTGTCTGAATGAGGTGAGCGACGCGGGTTCGAGCTTCTGATGGTGCTGACCCCCCCCCCCCTCTCGCCGTGTCCCAGCCCTGGAGGGAGACGCCATGTCAGAGGACTTCTCTCCCTCGCAGCCCGAGAGGCTCCAGCCCTGGTGAGCGACCCCCACCACACCCCGAGAGGCTCCAGCCCTGGTGCTGTACTAGTATACTACACTACACAGTACACTATACACTACACTATACACTACACTACACACTGGTGCTGTACTAGTATACTACACTACACAGTACACTATACACTACACTATACACTACACTACACACTGGTGCTGTACTAGTATACTACACTACACAGTACACTACACTATACACTACACTATACACTGGTGCTGTACTAGTATACTACACTACACAGTACACTATACACTACTATACACTACACTACACACTGGTGCTTGTAACTAGTATACTACACTACACAGTACACTACACTATACACTACTACACACTACACACTAGTGCTGTACTAGTATACTACACTACCAGTACACTACACTATACACTACACACTGGTGCTGTACTAGTATACTACACTACACAGTACACTATACACTACTATACACTACACACTGGTGCTGTACTAGTGGACGAATTGGCCACAGTCTCTTCACGTGACACAACCTTACTAGTTGGCTGCGTCGGGTGCTGGCGGGTTTAACGACACATTTATATATTTACGCGATCTAACGCAAAAAACCCCACCCTGTATTATGTTATTATTGCTTGTGTTACATTATTTCTTGTGGCTACACCAACCAACCCAAATGAACGCACTCCGCAGAAGGGCAAAGTCGTGGTAGCCAGACGGGACGTGTCGGAATAGAAGCAAAAATAAACGATTAAACATTCAAATGTAAACTTTTTTAGCAGAAATGTTCTGGATTCATGAATGGTGCATGAGGGTGGCGTGGGGTGAGTGTGGAGGTCGCGGTGTGGTGGGGGGGAGGATCTCGAGAAAGTTTACCTGGAGCGCTGTTTGAGTTTCGGTTTAAGCCCCAGAGGGCAGTAGACAGAATGAGTCACTGCTGCCACCAAAAACTAAACTATTTTTGTTAAATTATTATTATTATTTACCAGGTCAGGCCACACTGAGCCATGTAGAGCTCTCGTTTGCAGAAGTCGACCCTGGCTATCACAGATGATTGCTCAACGAAGTGGGCCTATCATTGCGTGAAAATGTATAGCGGCCAAATTAACCTCAGCGCACTTTGTTTCTTAATGTGGAGGGGCAAAAAACTGGGAGGACTCGGAGAAAAATCCACGTGACCACTGAGAGAGAGACACAAACTTCAAATATACAGTAGCAGGCATTGTCAGTGTTGGCATCGATCCCACGACCTCCTGTATATCAGGCGAGGTAGTTAATATCTCCTAGCCACCGCGATGATGAGAGAGACACGCAAACTTCAAATATACAGCAGCAGGCATTGTCAGGGTTGGCATCGAACCCACGACCTCCTGTATATCAGGCGAGGTAGTTAACATCTCACAGCCACCGCGATGATGATGATGATGAGAGAGACACACAAACTCCAAATATACAGCAGCAGGCATTGTCAGGGTTGGCATCGAACCCACGACCTCCTGTATATCAGGCGAGGTAGTTAATATCTCCTAGCCACCGCGATGATGATGATGAGAGAGAGACACACAAACTCCAAATATACAGCAGCAGGCATTGTCAGGGTTGGCATCGAACCCACGACCTCCTGTATATCAGGCGAGGTAGTTAACATCTCACAGCCACCGCGATGATGATGATGATGATGAGAGAGAGACACACAAACTCCAAATATACAGCAGCAGGCATTGTCAGGGTTGGCATCGAACCCACGACCTCCTGTATATCAGGCGAGGTAGTTAATATCTCCTAGCCACCGCGATGATGATGATGAGAGAGAGACACACAAACTCCAAATATACAGCAGCAGGCATTGTCAGGGTTGGCATCGAACCCACGACCTCCTGTATATCAGGCGAGGTAGTTAACATCTCCTAGCCACCGTGATGATGATGATAGAAAGAGAGACACAAACTCCAAATATACAGCAGCAGGCATTGTCAGGGTTGGCATCGAAACCCACGACCTCCTGTATACCAGGCGAGGTAGTTAACATCGTCCTAGCCACCGCGATGATGATGATGAGAGAGAGACATACAAACTCCAAATATACAGCAGCAGGCATTGTCAGGGTTGGAATTGAACCCACGACCTCCTGTATACCAGGCGAGGTAGTTGACATCTCCTAGCCACGGCGATGATGATGAGAGACACACAAACGCCAAATATACAGCAGCAGGCATTGTCAGGGTTGGCATCGAACCCACGACCTCCTGTATACCAGGCGAGGTAGTTAACATCTCCTAGCCACCGCGATGATGATGAGAGAGACACAAACTCCAAATATACAGCAGGCGTCAGGGTCGGGATCAAACCCACAACTTCCTAGTATACGAGGCGAGAGAGTCACCATCTCGCCACCGTGGTTTGGTGCAGCTTAGCGACCTTGAGTCGTTTTGAGTCATCAATCTTTCTTTTGGGTGCCAATCAGTGCGCTGGAGCCAAGGTGACTTCCTGCTGCTCAAATAAGCAAAGAGGCAGTGCTGCTTGCTTGCTGCTTACAGCCCTGCAGCACAGCCAGTGGTGCAAAGTCCACGTTCCTATGGCGAGGGCGAGTCTGATATTATGGGACACCCACTGTTGACTTGCTCATGAAGTGGTGAATAATTTATCGACCCCAGAGGCAAGGAGGGTGATGGGTTGCATCAACCACTCTCCGCCGCTGGGCCGCTGTGGATCTTACCCGGATGTTCATGGAACTTGCCGCGGAAAAATGCCACTTGGGATGGGTGAATTCAACTTGGGATGGGTGAATGCAACTTGGGGTGGATGAATGCAACTTGGGGTGGGTGAATGCAAACTTGGAATGGGTGAATTCAACTTGGGATGGTGAATGCAACTTGAGATAGTTTAATGCAACTTGGGTTGGATGAATGCAACTTGAGATGGGTGAATGCAACTTGAGATAGTTGAATGCAACTTGGGATGGGTGAATGCAACTTGAGATAGTTGAATGGAACTTGGGATGGGTGAATGTAACGCAATGTCTTGTTGCAGGAACATCACTTACAAGGAGCCAGAAGAGGTGACGTCACACGCACTCACCTTCTGACACTCATCCCACACTGTGGAGGATGGGGCCAAGTGGTGTGTGTGTGTTGGCTTTGTGGGTTGGTGTGGTGGTGTGTCTATGAGCGTAGATGTGTAGCTGGGAGCGGTAGTGTAACGGTTCGTGCTTCGCTGCACTAACGAACCCGAGGACCCGAGTTCGATTCCCGCTCACGGTCAACACCAGTGATAATATAATGATCTGAAAAGGTCATGGGCCTCCCCTAGGTCAACTCAGCCTCAAATTAGTATCTAGTGCGATGTGTAAACATCGCCACTAGGGAGACAAAGGCGGCCGGGCGTGGGGCTGGCCACCCACTCCCTCGTGTGTCGTTCCCGCCTTCAAAGGCGCTCGCTAACAGCACTTGCCCTACAGTCTGTTAAGGCTATACGGGGGATATTTATTTTAGTTGTATGTGTGTCTATGGGGAGCGGTAGTGTAGCAGTTCGCGCGCCGTGTGATGAAACCGGCGACCCGCGTTCGATTCCCGCTTATGGCCACCAACACCAGTGACGATTACGTGAACTGATCCTCGTCCTCACCTAGATCGACTCAGCCTCAAATTAGTACCTGGTGTCAGTGTGTAAACATCGCCACTTGGGAGACAAAGGCGGCCGGGCGTGGTGCTGGCCACCCACCCTCTCGTGTGCCATTCTGGCCTCGCTAAACACTACTTGCCACAACTGTCTGTGAAGGCTACACGGTGCACCTTTGTGTTAGTGTGTATGTCTGCGTGTGTTTCCACGTGTACCGTCTGCAGTTCCTGAGCTTGGATGGCAATAGTTTGAGCACTCGGGAGCTTCTGCGTCTGGGCAAAAGCCAGTACAAGATCAAGGTGAGGCCCATAGGGGAGGTCACCAGGTCAATGGGTTGCAGGCCAATGAGTCAGCAGGTTCACGAGGACTCGGGCAGACACCGTGGGGTTCACCTTGCCCCACTGCACCGTGGGGCATCGCTCCACCTCCATCGTGGAGCCCTGCTCCATCGTGAGGCTTGCCTCACCCAGCTCCACCATGGGGCCCGGCTCCACCGTGAGGCACCGCTCCACCGTGAGGCTTCCCTCCGCCGTGGGGCCACTAATGCTGCGCCTGTGTCTCCTCAGCTCACGGATGAGGCCCAGGTCAGGATCAGGAAATCGCGGGAGCTGCTGGAGACGATCATCCAGGAGAACAAAGGTCAGCCCAGGGTCGCACAGTGTCACACCTGCACTGAACACGTGATAGTGTCACAGTGTCACACCTGCACTGAACACCTGTTAAGTGTCACAGTGTCACACCTGCACTGAACACGTGATAGTGTCACAGTGTCACACCTGCACTGAACACCTGTTAAGTGTCACAGTGTCACACCTGCACTGAACACGTGATAGTGTCACAGTGTCACACCTGCACTGAACACGTGATAGTGTCACAGTGTCACACCTGCACTGAACACGTGATAGTGTCACAGTGTCACACCTGAACTGAACACGTGATAGTGTCACAGTGTCACGTGATAGTGTCACAGTGTCAGGTGATAGTGTCACAGTGTGACACCTGAATCCGTGTGTGCGCCACAGTGGTTTACGGAATCACGACGGGATTTGGCAAGTTCGCCCGCACGGTCATCCCAAGCAACAAGCTCAAGTGAGCGTGCATCACGCAGCACCACACCACTACCACCACACAGCATCACACCACTACAACCACACAGCATCACACCACTACCACCACACAGCATCACACCACTACTACTACCACACAGCAGCACACCACTACTACCACACAGCAGCACACCACTACTACCACACAGCATCACACCGCTACCACCACACAGCATCACACAACTACCACCACACAGCATCACACCACTACTACCACACAGCAGCACACCACTACTACCACACAGCATCACACCACTACCACCACACAGCATTACACAACTACCACCACACAGCATCACACCACTACAACCACACAGCATCACACCACTACCACCACACAGCATCACACCACTACAACCACACAGCATCACACCACTACTACCACACAGCATCACACCACTACCACCACACAGCATCACACCACTACAACCACACAGCATCACACCACTACCACCACACAGCATCACACCACTACAACCACACAGCATCACACCACTACCACCACACAGCATCACACCACTACTACCACACAGCAGCACACCACTACTACCACACAGTATCACACCACTACCACCACACAGCATTACACAACTACCACCACACAGCATCACACCACTACAACCACACAGCATCACACCACTACCAACACACAGCATCACACCACTACAACACACAGGCATCACACCACTACTACCACACAGCATCACACCACTACCACCACACACAGCATCACACCACTACAACCACACAGCATCACACCACTACCACCACACAGCATCACACCACTACAACCACACAGCATCACACCACTACCACCACACAGCATCACACCACTACCACTACACAGCATCACACCACTACCACCACACAGCATCACACCACTACAACCACACAGCATCACACCACTACAACCACACAGCATCACACCACTACTACCACACAGCAGCACACCACTACTACCAAACAGCATCACACCACTACCACCACACGGCATCACACCACCACTACCACACAGCATCACACCACTACAACCACACAGCATCATACCACTAATACCACACAGCAGCACACCAACACCACCACACAGCATCACACCACTACAACCACACAGCATCACACCACTACCACCACACAGCATCACACCACTACCACCAAACAGCATCACACCACTACAACCACACAGCATCACACCACGACTAACACACATCAGCACACCACTACCACCAATCAGCATCACACCACTGCCACCACACAGCAGCACACCACTACCACCAAACAGCATCACACCACTACCACGACACAGCATCATATCACTACCACCACACAGCATCATACCACTACTACCAAAGAGCATCACACCACCACACAGCATCACACCACCACCACACAGCATCACACCACTACCACCACACAGCGTCACACCACTACAACCACACAGCAGCACACCACTACCACCACACAGCATCACACCACTACCACCACACAGCATCATATCACTACAACCACACAGCATCATACCACTACTACCAAAGAGCATCACACCACCACACAGCATCACACCACCACCACACAGCATCACACCACTACCACCACACAGCGTCACACCACTACAACCACACAGCAGCACACCACTACCACCACACAGCATCACACCACTACCGACCACACAGCATCATATCACTACCACCACACAGCATCATACCACTACTACCAAAGAGCATCACACCACCCACCTCACAGCATCACACCACCACCACACAGCATCACACCACTACCACCACACAGCATCACACCACTACAACCACACAGCAGCACACCACTACCACCACACAGCAGCACACTAACACCACCACACAGCATCACACAGCATCACACCACTATTACCACACAGCAGCACACCAACACCACCACCATACAGCATCACACCAGAATCACACCAGCATCACGAGCGGTGTACGCCCTGGCGCCCCACGGGGACGGGTGACGATGTCGCGTCTCTGTCGCCGCAGGGAGCTGCAGGAGAACCTCATCCGCTCGCACGCAGCAGGTGAGGAGGGGGCTGGGGTGGCGCGCGTCGGGGCCAGGGGTTGCCACCTGTACGGGCACCGACGTCTCTCCGCCCGGGTGGCAGCAACAGCGAATTGCACTGTTCTGACAGGCCCAGTGCAACCCTACCACCACTCGCTCACACGCACGTTCAGCCACCCGCTCGCCCGCCTGCCCGCCCGCTCAGTCACCCACCCACCGACTCGTTTGCCCACTCACTCACGCGCCCACCAACTGGCGATGCCACCCATCCGGGTTTGGCCCGTGCAAAGGTGGTAACTCTCCCGCGGTGGCATCGCCTGTGCCGTGCAGCTTAGCACGCACGCGGGGTCACCGGCACCTGTGACGCCCGCGCGTGACGCCGCGTGTCTGTCGCGGTGGGGTCGTGCAGGGGTGGGGAAGCCCCTCCTGCCGGAGCGGACCCGCATGCTGCTCGCACTGCGCATCAACGTCCTGGCCAAGGGCTACAGCGGCATCTCCCCAGACTCCATCAACCGCATGATCAGCGCATTCAACGGTGAGGCCGTGCCCCGAGCTGTCTCCAGCATCGCGGCATTCAGCGTCACCATCTCCAGCATCACAATCTCTCGAATTACGATCTCTAAGATCACGATCTCTAGAATCACGATCTGCAGCGTCACGATCTCGAGCGTCACGATCTCGAGCATCACGATCTCTTACGTCACGATCTCTAGAATCACGATCTCTCGAATCACGATCTCTAAAATCACGATCTCTAAAATTACGATCTCTCAAATCACGATCTACAGCGTCACCATCTCCAGCATCACGATCTGTAGAATCACGATCTCTAGAATCACGATCTCCAGCATCACAACACTCAGCGACATGATCTTCAGCGTCATTATCTCTATAAATCACGGCCTCGAGGGTCACGGCTTTCACAGACGAGCCGAGAGTGTGCCCGTGTCGAGAGTCGTTCGGAGCCCGGCGTCAGCGCATCGCTTCACGAGTGAGTGCGTGCGCGCGTGCAGCGTCGTGTCTGCCCTACGTCCCGGAGAAGGGCACGGTGGGGGCGAGCGGGGACCTGGCCCCCCTGGCGCACCTGGCGCTCGGCCTCATGGGAGAGGGGAAGATGTGGTCGCCCAGGAGCGGTTGGGCCGATGCGAAATACGTACGCCACGCGAGAACGCACGCACGCACGCACACACGCACGTATGAAGACAAAGATCCAACGTATGATCTTAACAGACTGTAGGAGCAAGCGCTGTGAGTAGCGAGCACCTATGAAGGCCGGCACGGCATACGAGGGAGCGGGTGGCCAGCACCACGCCGGACCGCCTTTGTCTCCCCAATGGCGATGTTTTTACGCACCGCACCAGATATTCATTTGAGGCTGAGTCGACCTAGGGGAGGCCCAAGACCGGTTCAGATAACCGTCAGTACACCTGCACACACACACACATGCATACACACATTCACACACACGCACAACGGCCGTTCGCCACTAAGTTGCGGAGATAATGACCACGGGGAGTTTGTGCCATGCTAGGTGCACTCTGACGGGGTGGGGAAGTTACTTTTATTGAGAATTTAAGTGGTTTTCCTATGGACTAACTCAACCCCACCACAGGAATGTGAAATCTCCACCACTGGCTCTCCAGGGGCTCTACACAGGCGATGGACACGCACGCCTCAACGCTCATAGCAGCAGTCGCAACAACAGGAGTTCACTGTGACTCTATCTCTTCCAGGTGCTGCAAGCTCATGGACTTTCTCCGATATCGTTCCGCCCCAAGGAGGTAGGGCACGCAGTGCAGGCCGCGCGAGCCTCGTCGCTACAGCCACTTCTGCAGCTGCCTTGCTTGCCGACGAAAAGCCCTCGCCGAGGGCTCACGACTCGTTCTTTCAGCGGAGTCGAGCCGAGTTTTTGTTCGCGGTAGGGCGGCTCCGACTACTGTTGCTGCTGCTGATACTACGGCTGCTGCTGCTCCGACTGATGCTGCTGCTGCTCCGACTGCTGCTGCTGACTGATGCTGCTACTGCTGCTACTACTGCTGCTACTGCTTCTGCTGCTACTACTGCTGCTACTGCTGCTGCTCCGACTGATGCTACTGCTGCTGCTGCTCCGACTGCTGCTACTGGTGCTGCTACTACTGCTGCTGCTCCGACTGCTGCTGCTGACTGCTGCTACTGCTGCTCTGACTGCTACTGCTGCTGCTGACTGCTGCTGCTACTGCTGCTACTGCTCCCACTGCTGCTGCTCGACTGCGCTGCTACTGCTGCTCTGACTGCTGCTACTGCTGCTGCTACTGCTGCTCTGACTGCTACTACTGCTGCTGCTACTGCTCCCACTGCTGCTGCTACTGCTGCTGCTCCGACAGCTGCGTGTTCCCACTGAATAATTTGGACTGTGGCGTCGGCCGCCTCTTGCGAACGACGTCACGGGATCTCAACGTCCAGGGTGAAGAAGAGAAGACGGCTCGTGCCAATCTTGTCATGGCCATGCTGAGCAGCAGTTAACCGGGGCGGCCACTGCAAACGAACCGTGGGATCTGTGCAGCAAGAGGGTGACCACGCTACCGCTGGGCCAGCTGCCCCGTGGGCAGTGCGACAGAGGAAACGAGACTCCCGTTCGTCTCACCAAACACGAATATGCAGCGTGCACAATGAGAACCTTCATTTGTGCTGCAGGGGCAATCGGATGAGCTGCAATATTTTTTTTCCTCGCAGATGTCCAGTAGGGGCACACGGGGTCAGTAACTTACAAGAAACAATACAAAGACGCGATAGGAGCGCAAAGTATCGGCAAGGTAACCAAATGTCAAAACATAAATACGAAAACTAAACTTTTAATTTCACCAGGTGAGGCCCCAATGGGCTATTCGCTTCCTTTTCAGAAGCAACCTGGCCACAAATGAGAGTACCTGCAGCCCATTGGCCAGTCTTCATCACACTGCAGAATTGTCGAAAATAAGACTCCGCGTTTGACCTCCTATCAGTTGCAGTCTCTTGCCAAGAACAACTCCGCAGTGCTGCGGCATGTGTTGTGCTGATGAGACCCGAGACGGACAATCTAGTGCGCGTGCACTCTGCAAAAGCCGCGTCGTGTTTGGAGAGAGTTGCAGAGGGGACTGGCCGAGGCAGAGGCTCCTGGGCTGCACGTTATGCGTAGGGGGAGGGCAGGCAGTGGAGGCGACTAATCACGTCTGGTCATCTCAACAATTCATTCACTTAATAATTAAACCGCGAATTCACAATGTGCGTCTTTAATCTATTAAGACTTAGCCGACTCATTTACCTGCATTGTTTGGGATAGGAGGTTATTTGCATAACGATCAGCTTACGATCAACGTACTCGCAATGGCGGCTTGTCCCCCTGCGTCCCCCCATCCTGGTGCCCCCCCCCCTCATCCCTCCTCTTTAGGGCCTTGCCCTGATCAACGGGACCCAGATGATCACGGCGCTGGGGGCGGAGGCCGTGGAACGGGCGGCCTCCATCGCCCGGCAGGCGGACGTGATCGCGGCGCTCACGCTGGAGGTGCTCAAGGGCACCACCAACGCGTTCGACAGCGGTGAGCTCCGTGGGAGGACGTGGCCGTGGTGCCCTGTGTTCACCTGGGACGTGGCCGTGGTTTCCTACGGCCACGTCCCAGGTGAACACAGGCACCATCTCCGTACCGGTGGTAATTTGAAACTAAAACATTTTTTTTTTGCCAGGTAAGGCCCACTGAGCTATATACAGCTCTTTTTCATAAGCGGCCTGGACGTCACAAATGATAGCTCAACGAAGTGGTCTATCATGTGGACATTTATATCAGCCAAATATTCTCGGCGCAAATTTCTAAATTTGGAGGGGAAAACCGGAGGACCCGGAGAAAAATCCACGCGACCACGGCTAGAGAGACACGCAAACTCCAAATATACAGCAGCAGCAGCAGGCATCAGGGTCGGATCGAACCACGAGCTCCTGTATACTAGGCGAGGGGGGTTAACACCTCGCCACCGCAGCCAGATGATGGAGAGGCTGCCACTGTTTCTGCGAAGAGTCCCGAAAGCGATCGGTCGTCCACTCAGCCTCGCGCCAATCTCGCGTAGCGCACGGACGTCGGGGTGACTGTGGCCAGCGAGCGTAACGCGTGCTCTCTCCGGCAGACATCCACGAGCTGCGTCCTCACCCGGGGCAGAAGGAGGTGGCTTTCCGCTTCCGCTCCTGCTTGACTCGGACCACCACCCGTCCCAGATCGCCGGTCTCCACGCGCCCACCAACCCAAACCCTGCTCCACCACCACCACCGCCACCGCGCCAACTCAATACCCCACACGCCTCCAATCCCTGCACCGCACACGCTTTCTCACCGTCTCATCGGTGGCCGCCACACTCAATCAGCGGTTTGAGTCACGTGGCCCAAACCCCTGCGGGTGATCTGAGTAACGCGTGGATTGTGCCGTCCCACAGAGAGCCACAGGTTCTGTGACCGGGTCCAGGACGCGTACACGCTGCGCTGCTGCCCGCAGGTGCCGCCGCAAACCGTGTCCGCACACTCGATCACGTGTGTTTGCTGAGCGAGAGCGTGAGAGGCGTGTGTGTGTGTCTGTGTGTGTGAGAGACGTGTGTGTGTGTGTGTCTGTGTGAGTGAGAGACTGTGTGTGTGTATTTGTGCAGCCAGGGGTTCAGTGACAGGGTGCAAGATGCAGTGAATGACACTGCCCACCCTAGCAGGGCTGCCCAGTCTTTAAGCTGACAGAATTTGATAGATACAGTTGTGTAAAGCTGCTGCCCTGTGAGCTGCCCCCTTCTGCCACGTGAGCTGTCCTGTGTCCCGTGTTGTTGTCCAGGTGCACGGCATCGTGAATGACACCATCAGCTTTGTGCAGAAAGTCATCCAGACGGAGATGAACAGCGCGACCGACAACCCCGTATCCACAAACCTGCTTCTCGCACCCCACAACACACGTATACACAAACACGGCACAATACACACAGAGACATATACAATAGCAACACAAACACAAAAGCACCACCAACACACCTAAAAAGACAAAGATCCCCCAGTATAGCCTTATCAGACTTTTGGGGCAAGTGCTGTTTTAGCGAGCACCATCTATGGAGGCCGGCACAGCACACGAGGGGGTCGGTGGCCAGCACCACGCCCGACCGCCTTTGTCTCCCCGGTGGCGATGTTTATACGTCGCACCGGGTACCATTTGAGTCGGAGTCGACTAGCAACACGCACGAACACAGCACAACCAACAACAAGAACCGCATTCGCCACTAAGTGGCGGTGACATCACCACGGTGCCAGGCCAGGTGAACTTTGAGGCCACGTGAAGTGTCGAAGGGCTCGCTGGCAGGAGGTCACGGGACAGACCCTGGTGCCATGGGTTGGCTGACCGAGATGACTGGCAGATGCACCACCAGCTGTACCCCCTATTGTGCCAACAGCACGACGCACACATCTACACTAGCAAACACACACACACAAATATCACCAACATCACACACACAGACACGCGCGCACACGCGCAAATCGGCAACACGCACACGGCAGCCTCACGATCCTTGACAGCAGCGCGAGATGGTGTTTTACGAGCGAGGTGAGACCATCTCTGGGGGCAACTTCCACGGAGAATACCCTGCGAAGGTGAGTCACCTCCTCCTCCTCTCCTCTCACACGGCGGGAAGTTGACCGGCAACGTCTCGCTCTGCCCGCGTGGAGGTTGGCGACTGCTTCAGGGGCAACCTGCATTGATTGGCTCCCGCTGGCCGAACGGAGATGTTATACGGCCGCACTCATTGCACGCAAAGTGCTTGCCACGAATGAAGCACCGATAACCTCGCCGATCTCGTCAAGAGCATAAATGAACCATCGTGCAAACTCCGCTCGTCCTCGCAGCAGCAGCAGCGACAGCGGCGGCAGCAGCAGCGGCTTGTGGGTGTCAATCGAACACAGGCGGTGGTCACCGCATCGCGCGGCGCTTTCGGGTGCGCTTCTGCGGCCGTCTGGAACGCTCTTCCTGCCGATGTTAGGAAGCCACCGGAGCTGTGCGCTTTTAAATCATCTATATTGAACATTTACTTCTCTAGAACTGATTATTTTTGTGTTTAGTTTGTTGTCCCTTCCCCCGCACGTTCGATTAGCGCGGTTGGCTACGTACGGTGCGAAAGAAGTTCAACGTACAAACTCGTGTCACGTCCAGGCTGGATTTCTCTGGTCTCGCCTACATTCCTGCAGCAAATCTAAATACTCTACAGCTGGTCCACAATGTCACTGCCCAGGCGCCAGAGTACCAACCGAACGACCTACGACATTCTACAGATTGCGTCGGCCGAGATTTGTCCAATTTCCGCTTCTCTTAGGGATTGTTTGCATGTGCTATGTATTGATCTCCTTTGGCACAGTACGTAGCCACCGTGATAATCGGAGGTGCGGGGGTCAAAAACTTAAAGCAAAGGGGATTGCGTGAATTTCAATGCGAAGAAAGTAGGGGCAGTCGCGATCAGACGCACACAGATACCATCACAATTACACATACACACACATACTATCATAATTACACATACACAGATACTACCACACATTACACATACACACAGATACCATCACAATTACACATACACACAGATACCATCACAATTACACATACACACACATACTATCATAATTACACATACACACAGATACTACCACAAATACATACACCACAGATACCATCACAATTACACATACACACAGATACCATCACAATTACACATACAGACAGATATTATCACAATTACACATACACACAGATACCATCACAATTACACATACACACAGATACCATCACAATTACACATACACACAGTTACTATCACAATTACACATACACACAGATACTATCACAATTACACATACACACAGATACCATCACAATTACACATACACACAGATACCATCACAATTACACATACACACAGATACCATCACAATTACACATACACACAGATACCATCACAATTACACATACACACAGATACCATCACAATTACACATACACACAGATACCATCACAATTACACATACACACAGATACCATCACAATTACACATACACACAGATACCATCACAATTACACATACACACAGTTACTATCACAATTATACATACACACAGATACCATCACAATTACACATATACTATCACAATTACATACACAGGTACCATCATAATTACACATACACACAGATACTATCACAATGACACTCGCAGACACTTTGACAATTACACGCGCAGAGAGCAGAGATGCAGTCAAATACTACGCAGAAGTGCATGCACACTCTCACAAGTACACAGGCACAACCCTAACACACCGCAAATGGCAAACATTCTCCCACACAGACCGCCTGTCACAAAGAGACAGAGGAAAAAGATCCCTGAGATAGCTTCGAAACAGACTGTTGGTGAGCACCGTTTGAGGCCAGTCCAGCCACGCGGCCAGAATTCGAATTCGGCCAACTTGTGGGGTCCCACGTGGCGGGTGAGACCCGTGCGTCGTGCGCTCTGCTGCGGGGTGCACGGTGGCACCTCCTATAGCTGTGGTGGCACCTCCTATAGCTGTGGTGGCACCTCCTATAGCTGTGGTGGCACCTCCTATAGCTGTGGTGGCACCTCCTATAGCTGTGGTGGCACCTCCTATAGCTGTCGTGGCACCTCCTATAGCTGTGGTGGCACACCCTATTGCTGTTGTGGCACCTATAGCTGTGGTGGCACCTCCTATAGCTGTGGTGGCACCTCCTATAGCTGTGGTGGCACCTCCTATAGATGTGGTGGCACCTCCTATAGCTGTGGTGACACCTCATATAGCTGTCGTGGCACCTCCTATAGCTGTCGTGGCACCTCCTATAGCTGTGGTGGCACCTCATATAGCTGTGGTGGCACCTCCTATAGCTGTGGTGGCACCTCCTATAGCTGTGGTGGCACCTCCTATAGATGTGGTGGCACCTCCTATAGCTGTGGTGGCACCTCATATAGCTGTGGTGGCACCTCCTATAGCTGTGATGGCACCTCCTATAGCTGTTGTGGCACCTATAGCTGTGGTGGCACCTCCTATAGCTGTGGTGGCACCTATAGCTGTGGTGGCACCTCCTATAGCTGTGGTGGCACCTCCTATAGCTGTGGTGGCACCTCCTATAGCTGTGGTGGCACCTCCTATAGCTGTGGTGGCACCTCCTATAGCTGTGGTGGCACCTCCTATAGCTGTGGTGGCACCTCCTATACTGTGTGTGGCACCTCCTATAGCTGTGGTGGCACCTCCTATTGCTGTTGTGGCACTCTATAGCTGTGGTGGCACCTCCTATAGATGTGTGGCACCTATAGCTGTGGTGGCACCTCTATAAGCTGTGGTGGCACCTCCTATAGCTGTGTGGCACCTCCTATAGCTGTGGCGGACCTATAGCTGTGGTGGCACCTCCTATAGCTGGTGGCACTATAGCTGTCGTGGCACCTCCTATAGCTGTGGTGGCACCTCCATATAGCTGTGGTGGCACCTCCTATAGCTGTGGTGGCACCTCCTATAGCTGTGGTGGCACCTCCTATAGGTGTGGCACCTCCTATAGCTGTGGTGGCACCTCATATAGCTGTGGTGGCACCTCCTATAGCTTTGATGGCACCTCCTATAGCTGTTGTGTGCACCTATAGCTGTGGTGGCACCTCCTATAGCTGTGGTGGCACCTCCTATAAGCTGTGGTGGCACCTCCTATAGCTGTGGTGGCACCTCCTTATAGCTGTGGTGGCACCTCCTATAGCTGTGGTGGCCCTCCTATAGCTTTGGTGGCACCTCCTATAGCTGTGGTGGCACTATAAGCTTGTGGTGGCACCTCCTATAGCTGTAATGGCACCTCCTATAGCTGTGGTGGCACCTCCTATAGCTGTGGTGGCACCTCCTATAGCTGTGGTGGCACCTCCTATAGCTGTGGTGGCACCTCCTATAGCTGTCGTGGCACCTCCTATAGCTGTGGTGGCCCCTCCTATTGGCTGTTGTGGAAACCTCCTATTTGCTGTTGGCACCTATAAGCTGTGGTGGCACCTCCTATAGCTGTGGTGGCACCTCCTATAGCTGTGGTGGCACCTCCTATAGCTGTGGTGGCACCTCCTATAAGCTGTGGTGGCACTCCTATTGCTGTGGTGGCACCTCCTATAGCTGTGGGTGGCACCTTCCTATTGCTGCGGCCATTCCCCATGTGACGGTGCGGTGGGCCCGTTGCGCCAGGTGCTGGACTACTTGGCGATCGGAGTGCACGAGTTGGCGGCCATCAGCGAGCGGAGGATCGAGCGCCTGTGCAACCCGTCCCTGAGCGAGCTGCCTGCGTTCCTCGTGAACGAAGGAGGCCTCAACTCGGGCTTCATGATCGCGCACTGCACCGCCGCCTCGCTCGGTACGCAGGGCCACGCGCGTCTCGCCCACCAACGCGGGAACGCTCTCACAGCCAGCCTTGCACCCTCCTACTGGAATGAACTTCCGCTGTGCATTGAGCAGTCCCCCTTCTTAACCTCCTTTCGTTCCTCCATTAAAGCATCACCTCCTCTTCTCCATTGTCCCTTCCTCTTCCCTCCCGTCGCCCCTCCACTCTATCCTGCCCCCCCATAGCCCTTTTGTGACCTCCGTGTGTGCCCTCTGTTACAGTCACTCATTGCTTGGCCCTTGAACGACCCTTTCCATCTTCATCACTCTTCTTCTGATACCGCTTTAAAACCACGTAAAGCACCTTGAGTTAAAGCTAAAGTGGCCGAGATGTTGACTAGCTCGCCTGGTACACAGGAGGTCGTGCGTTCAATCCCTACCCTGACGCCTGCTGTTCTTCCCGTGGTCACGTGGATTTTTCTGCGGGCCCTCCGGGTTTTGCCCTCCACATTTAGAATCAACATCACGCGTTTAGACTAACTGGCTGCTATAAATTCCCCCATGAGGATAAGCCACTTCGTTGAGCTAATCATTTGTGGCAAGGTCGCATCTGACAAAGAGCTACGAGGCTCAGGTTGGGCCTTACCTGGTTAAAATGTAACAAAAAAATTGTCTATAGTTTTAAGTTTTTAAATATAAGTGGACGGGTCCGTGCGGAAGGCGCGCGTCGTGTGACCGCGGGGTGCGGGATGTGCGGCCGTGGTGTCCCCGGTGCCCGCGCGTGCAGTGTCGGAGAACAAGTGCCTGTGCCACCCTTCCTCCGTCGACTCCCTCTCCACCAGCGCGGCCACCGAGGACCACGTGTCCATGGGCGGCTGGGCGGCGCGCAAGGCCCTGCGCGTCATCGAGCACGTGGAGCAGGGTGTGGAGCACTCTGCAGCATGCACACACACACATACACACCGTGTATACACGCATAGTGTACACACACACACTGTGTATACACACTGTGTAAACACACACACACCGTGTATACACGCATAGTGTACACACACTGTGTATACACACTGTGTACACACACACCGTGTATACACGCATAGTGTACACACACACACTGTGTATACACACTGTGTAAACACACACACACCGTGTATACACGCATAGTGTACACACACACACCGTGTATACACGCATAGTGTACACACACACACTGTGTATACACTGTGTAAACACACACACTGTGTATACACGCATAGTGTACACACACACACTGTGTATACACACTGTGTAAACACACACACTGTGTATACACACTGTGTAAACACACACAAACAGTGTCACGTCCCGCTCACGTAGCCACGTGCCCTGTGTCTACCAGTGTTGGCCATAGAGCTGCTGGCCGCGTGCCAGGGCATCGAGTTCCTGCGGCCTCTGTGCACAACCACCCCACTGGAAAAAGTCTACGACCTGGTCCGCAGCACCGTCAGGTACAAGAGAGGCCGCACGCAGCAGCTGCTGCGTGTCCCACCCCCACTGCGTGTCCCACCCCCACACAAGCGCTGTGGTGTCGTCGCTGCCACTTTATAGCCAACGGTGGTTGTTGTTGTTGTGCCGTGTGTATGACTGGACGTGTGTATGTGTGCGTGCGTGCGCGTTGCAGGCCCTGGATAAAGGACCGCTTCATGGCCCCGGACATAGAGGCGGTGCACCGGATGCTCGTGGAGGAGAAGGTAGAAGCAGCGCAGCAGCAGGAGGGGCTCCGTCAGGTCCTCTCGTCCTCCTCCAGGGCGGCGCACGAGCAAGGCGCTCACACTCCGGCGCGCCGTCTGTGTGCCCCTTGCAGGTGTGGCAGGTGGCCGAGCCGTACATCAACTGCTACCGGCTCAAGGACCTGCCCGAGTCGAGGCCCGATTCGCCGACGGCGTGCTCGCTCAGCTCGCCCTCTTCGCCGAGCAAACGTCGCCGTAGCTGCGATTAGGCGGAGGCAGGAGCTCGCCGCGTCTGCTGGCGGTCATTCTAAAGCGCTACGATAACGATAGCTAACGCAGCCTGCGTTTAGCCGCTAAAAGCCTCGCCGAGTCTCCCAACTCTTTGTAAGGAGGGATCCGCGTTTTGATATTCGGCAATCACGTGGGCGAGCTTTTTTGGCTGAATCCGGGAGGAATGCAGTGCCTGGAGAAAGCCGACCGTGTATAAGGGGCTGACACTCAACAAAAACTCAACACTGATTACATTGATTGCTGTCCTGCCAACCTCTGGAGACCTCGAAGCACACAGCAGCATACTCACTCTACTCTCACAGCAGCACACAGCAGCACACACACTCTGCTCTCACAGCAGCACACAGCAGCACACTCTGCTCTCACAGCAGCACACAGCAGCATACTCTCCTCTCACAGCAGCACACTCTCCTCTCACAGCAGCACACAGCAGCACACACACTCTGCTCTCACAGCAGCACACAGCAGCACACTCACTCTGCTCTCACATAATCACACAGCAGCATACTCACTCTGCTCTCACAGCAGCACACAGCAGCACACTCTACTCTCACAGCAGCATACAGCAGCATACTCTCCTCGCACAGCAGCACACCGCAGCATACTCTCCTCTCACAGCAGCACACAGCAACACAAACACTCTACTCTCACAGCAGCACACAGCAGCATACTCACTCTACTCTCACAGCAGCACACAGCAGCATACTCACTCTACTCTCACAGCAGCACACAGCAGCATACTCACTCTACCCTCACAGCAGCACACAGCAGCATACTCACTCTGCTCTCACATAATCACACAGCAGCACACACACACTCTACTCTCACAGCAGCACACAGCAGCATACTCACTCTGCTCTCACAGCAGCACACAGCAGCATACTCACTCTACTCTCACAGCAGCACACAGCAGCATACTCACTCTGCGCTCACATAATCACACAGCAGCATACTCACTCTGCTCTCACAGCAGCACACAGCAGCATACTCACTCTGCTCTCACATAATCACACAGCAGCATACTCACTGTACTCTCACAGCAGCACACAGCAGCATACTCACTCTGCTCTCACATAATCACACAGCAGCACACACACACTCTACTCTCACAGCAGCACACAGCAGCATACTCACTCTGCTCTCACAGCAGCACACAGCAGCATACTCACTCTACTCTCACAGCAGCACACAGCAGCATACTCACTCTGCTCTCACATGATCACACAGCAGCATACTCACTCTACTCTCACAGCAGCATACTCACTCTACTCTCACAGCAGCACACAGCAGCATACTCACTCTGCTCTCACATAATCACACAGCAGCATACTCACTCTGCTCTCACAGCTGCACACAGCAGCATACTCACTCTACTGTCACAGCAGCACACAGCAGCACACACACTCTGCTCTCATAGCACACAGCAGCATAACAGACTACTCTAACATCACACAGCAGCACACACAATTTGATTCCACAGTACATGTTCCTATGCCCTTTGAGAACATGGTGTGTTACGTGTTAGATTATTTTTGATTAAAGCACCAATCTATAGGCTCAAGTGTGCAATGTTTAAATTTCGATTTAAAGCTTTCGTGACTGCAAGGATTCATCTCCTTTGGTTCTTTCCGTAAAGTCACGTAGAATGAGAATAAAATAATAAATTAATAAAATAACACAATTAAATTCTCACGACGTTTCGGCCACAACACAAGTGGCCTTCATCAGGTGAAGGGACGAGACTGATGAAGGCCACTTGTGTTGTGGCCGAAACGTGAGAATTTTATTGTTATTTTATTTTATTAATTTATTCTTTTATTCTCATTCTACGTGGTGACTTTACCGAAAGAACCAGAGAAGATGTGCAATGTTTGATGTTTAATAAAATCTCTGTCGCTCAACAAACAACGTTCCTGCCTTCACGAGGGGCGGCTGTGGCCGAGGACTCGCGGTTGGGTGGGGGGGGCTTAACGAAGATGCAACTTAACCAGAGTGCGTTAATCAGAGTGCGTTATTCAGAGCACGTGTTAACCAGAGTGCGAACTTCAGGGTTTGGACTCCGGTTTTTGTTCAGTAAGGTCAGAGTCCGCGTGCGGTTCTCCCAGGGTGAATTGAGATCACGGTCGTTCGTCAGGCAGTTCGCTTCGTGGTTTATCGTCCTACAACAAGTCAGGTGGCTGGAAATTGCAAAGGGAAAACTCCCGACAAAAGTTCCCACCCACAGTACCCATCGGACTAAAACATCCCCTGGTCGCGGCGGTGTTCGATAGAGACGATGTGGGCGCATGGAAGAGGAATGTTAACCTAAAATTGCAATTTAAAAGACCAATTGCCCAACAAGATATGTGGTCACACGAGCATGGGTTGACTGATTGAGATGAATCCAGGCCACGTCGCTTTTCCAGAGCCTGCAAACCAACATGAAGGTGCTTCATGATTGTGAGCAGAAAGTCAGGGACTACGAAAGCACAAACAATCCAGAGCCCAGGCCTATTGATGGTATCATAGGCCTTGACCAGCTCAATAAAGCAGAGATGTATGTCGTGTGAGCAGATGGACAGAGAATGTGGCACCTGTGCAGGACCGCCCTTTCCTGAAACCACATTGGGGCTCTGCAAGCCTCTCCTCAGCGTGCCTGGCAAGGCGATGTTGAATAATCTTTTCCAGGACGTTTCCCGGCACACTGAGGAGCAAGATGCCCCTGTGGTTGTTAGTCTGTACGGCCCCCCTTCTTAAAGGGGCGATCACCAGGGCATCCTTCCCATCTTGCAAAACCCATCCAGTGGTACAGACTGTTATAATGATGTCATATCGGGCACTCTGTACACAAATGCCACCCTCCCTGAGCAGTTCACTTGGGAGATCATCTCTGCCCACTGCTTTTCCTGGTCTCAGACTTGCTCAACAAGATGTCACTTCAGCGAGCCCTCACAGCGGGTGACTACTTTCAATAATTGAGGCACATACTGTGTATACACACCAGCAACAGACACAAATACAGCACCATCAACACCTTTACACCAGTGACACACGCACACACACGCACACATCAGCCTCACGATCCTTGACAGCAGCGCGAGATGGTGTTTTACGAGCGAGGTGAGACTATCTCTGGGGGCAACTTCCAGAGAGAATACCCTGCGAAGGTGAGTCACCTCCTCTCCTCTCACCCGGCGGGAAGTTGACCAGCAACGTCTCTCTGCCCACGTGGAGGTTGCATGAGCTCGAGCTCTCTTCAGCTCGATGTCAGTAAAACTGAAGCAATTACTTTTTGGTTCTCGTCACCTTTTGCTTGACTCTGGATTCACTTCACTGGCGTTCCATCCATTAGCACGTGGACTTCAAGTTCCCGGTCCGCGCATTAAAATCCACCCGCGGCCTTGCCTCCTCCTTACCTCTACAACCTCCTCCCTTACTGTGCCTCAGGATTGAATGAGGGCACTTTGAGAGCTTACGCTCAAACCCCAGTGGCTTTTGGGACTTACATTTTGACTGTGGGGGATTCTTAAGGTCCTCTTGATATCGGTAGGTTCCGGTAGGTCATGTTTCAAATATAGACCGCGAGACGTTTGTGCGTCTCTTAACATTTGTGGTCGACAGAATTGGCAGTGGCCGGAATTAATTTTAGAGTTATTTTACGATGGCAGCATTGAGTTTTATATCTAGAGCCTCGGCGTGTGGGTGCTGTTGCACCAGAATGGAGAGCAGCATTTAGCCACCATCAGTGGCAGTGTTCCCGTGACTGTGGGAATCTGTGTGTGTGTGTGTGCATGAACCATCATCTCATGTTGTGCGGTTAGAACTTTGATTCCCGGGACCGTGTGTCTTGTTAACACTGGCCATGGGAGGCAGCCAACGTGGGGGGTCCCAAGTGGCGTGTGTGAGACCCGTGCATTGTGTGCTCTGCTGCGGGGTGTATGGACGTCGCGAGTGTAGGGTCCCTGTGGTGGCACCTCCTATTGCTATGGTGGCACCTCCTATAGCTGCGGTGGCACCTCCTATTGCTGTGGTGGCACCTCCTATAGCTGTGGTGGCACCTCCTATTGCTGTTGTGGCACCTCCTATAGCTGTGGTGGCACCTCCTATTGCTGCGGCCATTCCCCATGTGACGGTGCGGTGGGCCCGTTGCGCCAGGTGCTGGACTACTTGGCGATCGGAGTGCACGAGTTGGCGGCCATCAGCGAGCGGAGGATCGAGCGGCTGTGCAACCCGTCCCTGAGCGAGCTGCCTGCGTTCCTCGTGAACGAAGGAGGCCTCAACTCGGGCTTCATGGTCGCGCACTGCACCGCCGCCTCACTCGGTACGCAAGGCCACGCGCGGACGCCTCGTGGGCAGCGTCTCGTCCACCAACGCGGGAACGCGGATTAGGATGGGGGGGATGGGTCCGTGTGCGGCCCGCACGGACCCGGCGTGCGGAAGGCGCGCGCCGTGTGACCGCGGGGTGCGGGATGTGCGGCCGTGGTGTCCCCCGTCCCCGCGCGTGCAGTGTCGGAGAACAAGTGCCTGTGCCACCCTTCCTCCGTCGACTCCCTCTCCACCAGCGCAGCCACCGAGGACCACGTGTCCATGGGCGGCTGGGCGGCGCGCAAGGCCCTGCGCGTCATCGAGCACGTGGAGCAGGGTGTGGAGCACTCTGCAGCATGCACACACACACCGTGTATACACGCATAGTGTACAAACACACACACTGTGTATACACACTGTGTAAACACACACACTGTGTATACACGCATAGTGTACACACACACACACTGTGTATACACACTGTGTAAACACACACACTGTGTATACACGCATAGTGTACACACACACACACTGTGTATACACACTGTGTAAACACACATACACAGTGTCACGTCCCGCTCACGTAGCCACGTGCCCTGTGTCTACCAGTGTTGGCCATAGAGCTGCTGGCCGCGTGCCAGGGCATCGAGTTCCTGCGGCCTCTGTGCACAACCACCCCACTGGAGAAAGTCTACGACCTGGTCCGCAGCACCGTCAGGTACGAGAGAGGCCGCACACAGCAGCGGCTGCGTGTCCCACCCCCACTGCGTGTCCCACCCCCACCGCGTGTCCCACCCCCACTGCGTGTCCCACCCCCACACAAGCGCTGCGGTGTCGTTGCTGCCACTTTATAGCCAACAGTGGTTGTTGTTATGCCGTGTGTACGACTGGACGTGTGTGTGTGCGTGCGCGTTGCAGGCCCTGGATAAAGGACCGCTTCATGGCTCCGGACATAGAGGCGGTGCACCGGATGCTCGTGGAGGAGAAGGTAGAAGCAGCGCAGCAGCGGAGGGGCTCCGTCAGGTCCTCTCGTCCTCCTCCAGGGCGGTGCACGCACAAGGCGCTCACACTCCGGCGCGCCGTCTGTGTGCCCCTTGCAGGTTTTGCAGGTGGCCGAGCCGTACATCAACTGCTACCGGCTCAAGGACCTGCCCGAGTCGAGGCCCGATTCGCCGACGGCGTGCTCGCTCGGCTCGCCCTCTTTGTCCGTGCCATGTGCCAGCATGATTTTAACTCGAGATCAAGACGAAGGCGTCATCCTGGCCAAAGCCATCAATGACATCACTTTATACCCTCTGCCGGCTGCTGCACAGTAGACTCACAACTTCCAAAAACCACCCGAACAATATCTGCTGTTCGAGACACTCGACTTATTCAGAGAGCTACAGCCTCACAGAAACCCAGAATCCTCCGCCTTAGCAGAATCCGTATGTAACCATCTGGTCTTAGATCTTACCCTCGTCGCCGGACTCCTGAAGACCATTCCAATACCCGTCTGGATAGTTGGCCCTCCCCTATCCTGCACACATCCCACCCAGAGTGGTTGTTTTTGCCAAGTTCTCTTCTGGATTTCTCCAGTCTCGCCACTTAATTCCCACCATCCGTTTCAGACACCTGTGCTCATATGCCCGCTGCTTAGGGTCCAGGGGCCGGAGTACTGAACGGCTTAACACAATTCTACATAGGCCATGAATTTGTCCCATTTTCCGATTCCCTCCGGGATTCACGCAAGCGGATTGGTTAAACACCCGCGAGAACGCGAGGGAGGTCTGGACCTGCCTGAAATCCGCCTCCCAAAATGAATTTCATACCCCATAAAACAAAACCTAGCCAGCTAAATTAATTCTAACCGGAGTAATAATGCCCGTGTTAATCCAGCAAAGCCTCACCGAGTCTCAAGACTTTTTTTCAGGAAGGTCTGCTACATTGGGATCTTTGGCCAAACCCCATTCACGAGTGTTTGGCTTCATGTAGGAGTAAACCAGAGTCTCCTGGAGAAAACCCACGCATGCAAGCAGCTGACACTTATAGCTCCATACACCGATTAAATGCATAATATGGATGATATTGGTCGTGAAAGCCTACGTGTTAAACCGATTAAATGCATTGTTGTACTACCATCTCCTGGGGCCTTCGATGCATAAGCCTATAACACTTGGTATTCCAAGACAGTCTGCCATACATACATTTACTAGCCAGGCTCAACTTTGCTTAGCTTAGAATAGCTGATGAGACTACATGTACACCGGTACACACCACTCACGGAACACACACGGCCACACACCCTCTCCTCTCACAGCGCACAGCAGCACACATGCTCCGCTTCCACAGATGTCTGATTTTTGAGAACACCGTATATTGTGAGATTATTTTTGATTGAAGCACGAACGTGTGTACGTTAATTTTCAAGCTGATTGACGTCCAATAAAGTCTGTGTAGCTCTCCGTGTCATTCCAGGCGCGATTGTCACAAGAGATGCCGCGTGCCATATCACGTCACGTGATCGTGCGTTGTCACCTCGAATGTCACGTGACGTTGTAACGTCACATTGGGCGGCGACACGTGGTCCAGCTGGTGGCCCTGTGACAGAATACAATGAATCCGCGACAGAATGAATGATAAATGTTTATGTATTTTTTTAGGCCAATATACGGAATCAACGGGCGTCGCTTTGCCCGTATAAGGAATACTGGAATGAGAATCGACATTTTGAACGAGCCAATGCTCGATTAAACGGGAATAGACCAATTTCTTAGGATGCAAAGCTTGATTTGTGCTCAAACACATAGCTGTGATATTTTTAATACATTTGTTTAAATCATTATAGTGATTCCTGTGACATTATTTCGGGATCTAAAGGGAGGATTTGTGCATTGAAAACCCACATATTAGGCCGCCCCATGACGCTGTTTGGATTCCTTCTACACATTTTAGTGAGTCCAACTGAGTCGCAGACGTTGTCTTAGGAGCAACACGTTTTATGAAACTCTTAGCACAACATACTCCAAGTTATTGACACAACATACTCCAGACTATTGACACAACACATTCCAGGCTATTAACACAACACACTCCAGGCGATAACACAACACACTCCAAGTTATTGACACAACACACTCCAGGCTATTAACACAACATACTCCAGGCTATTAACACAACATACTCCAGGCTATTAACACAACATCAGGCTATTGACACAACATACTCCAGGCTATTGACACAACATACTCCAGGCTATTGACACAACACAATCTAAGTTATTGACACAACACACTCCAGGCTATTAACACAACATACTCCAGGCTATTAACACAACATGCTCCAGGTTATTAACACAACACACTCCAGGCTATTAACACAACACACTCCAGGCTATTAACACAACATACTCCAGGCTAGTAACACAACATACTCCAGGTTATTAACACAACACACTCCAGGCTATTAACACAACACACTCCAAGTTATTGACACAACACACTCCAGGCTATTAACACAACACACTCCAGGCTATTAACACAACATACTCCAGGCAAGTAACACAACACACTCCAGGTTATTAACACAACACACTCCAGGCTATTAACACAACACACTCCAAGTTATTGACGTAACATACTTCAGGCTATTGACACAACAAACTCTCGGGTGGTGACCACCCAACTAACCACGCTACGGCGGAACTAGACACGGTTCCACTATCCCGGTCCGGACCACAAGCTGGGTTCCGGACCGCGTGGTTGTTGGCTTCTTCAAGCTTGACCTGGATCTCCTGCCTCTCCAACAGTAAGAAGCCCGAGCCCCTCACAGGGCCCCCCTTATATTGGGCTGGGCTGAGGCTGGCTCCGCCTCTTGCCCCGCCCACCTCGATATCTCTCGCCCTTGCCTGGAGGCTCTTGAGAGTTCTTCTCGGACCATGTGACCACCCATTGGCCCCCTCCACCGGTAGTCCCCCTCCAGTATCATCCGATCACGTGTCCCCAGGTCAGCCAGAGTATTATGCCCCCAACGTAACCCCAGCTGGCTGACACTCTCGCTCTGTCAACGGGAGCCCGCACTGCACGCTGTGCGTGGCCAACGCGCTTAACCAACGCTCACCCAAGCCCCCACTAGGGCTGGTACTACACCCCGTGTCCGGGGTGTACACACAACAGTATACATCTCGCCGTGGCCTCGCAAGCCCGGCACCACACAGTGACATCCCCAGTCACTGCAATATCATTTATATTTCATTCTGTCGCGGATTAATTTTACCCTATTACAGCGCGTTTGCCTGCTCACTGCAGGGATTCGCGGTTCGAATCCGGCAGGCCGCCCTGGTTAACGCTGCGTTGTGTATTAACCATGAAAAAGTTTACTATGCACCGTCTACTTCACAGCGAACACTAAAGATGGTGTGCCAGCGTAACGGTCAGACTTTTAGACCACAAATTAGTAAAGCATCTTTTGTACACATCTCGTCAGCCATCCGACCTTCTGGGAGTGCACATTTCAGCACCCTCAGTTTAACACAAATATTGGACCGGTTTCGACACTCAGTGTCTCATCAGCTGTCAAGTTCGCTCGTGTAAGGGTTAGGCCTGGCGACCAACCCTATGTTTGTGTGTGGGGTAGTCTTCCAGAAATCTTAATGACTTCACGGGCAGGCCAAGTTTAAAAGTAGCAGAGCCACTGACAACCAACTTGGTCGGTGAGGCTGTCACGCCAATCAGATTGGAAGGCATCGGATCATTCAAATCAGATCGGTGCAAAGGGAAGAGGCGGGGAGATGAAATGCATTAACAAGAGACGGCTGATAACCATTGGAAAGTGGAAAAGGGGATTGTAGGGAAAGAGAAGAACTTGCTAGAAAGGGGGCTACAGGATATTTTAGGGGCCCGAGAGAGAACATTCTGGAGGGAAGCCTCTATAAGTGTGGTCTCTGTGTTTGCACATTATCTGTGAATAAACCATGAATCTTGATTTGAAGCTTTCGTGACTGCAGGAATCCATACTCGTTGGTTCCTTCTCTAAAGTCACGTAGGTAGAAAAATTAAACAAAATAAAAAAATAATTTATCACGACGTTTCGATCGCAAACACAAGCGGTCGTCCTCAGGCGGAAAAAATAATCCAGCAGTGGAAAACCATCAAGTTGAGCGGTACTTACCTCGTTCGAAGACCTTTTCACTTGGACCCAAATGCTGGCGAGCTGTCGAGATGTTCGTGGGCAAGGAGCCTCCCTCTCTGTTCGATGTGGGTCCGAGATTACAGCAAAGAGAGACATCTTCTTTGGGTCTTTCGGTAAAGTTACGTAGATAGGTTCAAATTAATGAAAAATAAATAAACAAAAAATTACGACGATTTCACTCGAGACGTTCCTCGTGACCCGGACCCACCCAACCCCCCCCCAACCACCCACTCCTCCACCCAACCCCCTCCCCCACCCCAACCAACCCCCACCCAACCCCCCCCCAACCAAACCCCCTCCCCCAACCAAAAACCCTCCTCACACCAACCCCCCCCCCCCAACCACCCTCTCCCCCACCCACCCCCTCCCCCACCCAACCCCCCCCAACCAACCCTCTCCCCCACCCACCCCCCCCCCACCAACCCCCTCCCCCACCCAACCCCTCCCCACCCAACCCCCCCCCCACCCAACCCCCTCCTCCACCCAACCCCCTCCTCCACCCACCCCGCCCTCCACCCAACCCCCTCCCCACCCAACCCCCCCCACCCACCCCCTCCCCCACCCAACCCCCCCCCCAACCAACCCCCTCCCCCACCCAACCCCACCCAACCCCCCCCAACCAACCCCCTCCCCCACCCAACCCCCCCCACCCAACCCCCCACCCAACCCCTCCTCCACCCAACCCCCTCCCTCGGCCCCCCACCCAACCCACCCACTCCCCCCACCCCAACCCACTCCCCCCCACCCAACCCACCCACTCCCCCCACCCAACCCACTCCATCCCCCCCGACCACCCACTCCCCCACACTCAACCCCCCACCAACCCACTCCCCTCACCCAATTCACTCCCCCCAACCCACCCCCTCCCTCCCTGCTACCCTCCCCCCCCCACCCCTCTTCCCCCCCCCCAACCCTCCAATTCCCCTCCCCCACCCAGCCCCTTCCCCCACCCAACCACCTCCCCCCCAAACAACCCCCTCCCCCCAACCCCCTCCAACCCTCCCAACCAACCCCCTCCCCCCAACCAAAGACCCTCCTCCACCCAACCCCCCCCCCCAACCAACCCCCTCCCCCACCCAACCCCCCCCCCCAACCAACCCCCTCCCCCACCCAACCCCCCCCAACCAACCCCCTCCTTCACCCAACC